TTGTGTAAGGGCTGTAATGCAAAAATGGTATCAAATGTAAATCACTCCAATGTAAATGTCATATTAATGCACATGAGTATGTATGCTTCAAAGATAATCAATTTTCAATTATCGATAACAGCATGTGGCGACCAAAGGCTTGGGTCTGAGTGCGAACTTGTATGCGGTTCTGCGGTAGCTGATGATTCTTCTTGCAGCTATAACAAGTTTTGCCTTCCAGGTCCAAATGAATGCAGGTGCATAGCTGGCTACGCAGGAGCATTCTGTAATGAAAGTAAGATAGCACAGTGTATTGTTTTGAAAGTAATCCAGTATGAAAGTGAGATATATTTGATATTGGTTGTTGAATAACACTACGATCACAGTCAGTAGCATTGCTACCAGGGGGCATGATCAATTCTAAACTTTGAACATTTTATTTCATGTGGTATATTAAAGATCGTCAATACTACTGGGCCAGAAGTCAGGGTTGCTTCCCTGACATTATGGAAACATGCAGCTATCAGTGCTATTCCCAAAACTAGTCCTGTTACCAGCTATGATCAGCTCCGGCCAATCTCCATAACGCCCACGTTAGCGCGTATCTTTGAAGGTTTCCTCGCGGACTGGATCATGAGCAGCATCCGCCCGTCTGTTGACCACCGCCAGTTTGGTAATCTTCGTGGATCGTCAGTTACGCACTACTTGGTCAGCCTGCTTGATACTATCCACAGAGGGCTTGACAAGGGTGGCACTCTCGCTAACCTCTGCGTTGTGGATTTTTCTAAGGCTTTTGACCATGTCAACCACACCATTGTTATGAACAAGTTGATCGACTTTAATAGGTGTCGATCACTCTATCATCCCTACTATCTGCAGCTTCCTTTCCAACAGAGCGCAGACTGTCCGCTACCATGGGAAATCCTCTCAACAACAAGCCATCACCTGTGGGGTACCCCAAGGTACTCGCCTCGGACCGGTCCTGTTTCTGGTCCTTATCAACGATGCAGCTGTTGAAAGTGATAACCGATGGAAATATGTGGATGACTTGACAATCGTGGAGGTCTTGAAGAAAACGCATCCATCTGAATTGCAGTCGCATCTAGACTCCTTGATCCAATGGTGCAAAGACAACGACGTTGTCCCGATTGCTGCTAAGTGTAAAGCTATGCAGATTTCATTTCTTCGCCAACCTCCGCCACCCATCGTTCTTGACATCAACTCTACCACACTGGAAGCTGTCTCATCCCTTAAGCTCCTTGGGGTCTTCCTTCGGGATGATCTCAAATGGGATGGGCAGGTCAACCGTTTGATCTCCAACGCTTCCAGAAGACTTTATCTCCTGACTAAGCTTCGGAGGAATGGTGTTACCACCAAGGATCTTGCCACTATCTACATGTTGTACAACAGGCCAGTGCTAGAATTTGCAGCACCTGTTTGGACATCAGGGATCACAAACAACCACTCTGTAAGCATCGAGCGAGTTCAGAGGAGAGCTCTCAGGATCATTACCTACCCTGACTCTAGAACTTATGTTGAACTGCAATCTCATCTTGGTGTCTCCTCTCCTAAAGAGAGACGCACGTCCCTTTCTCTAAGATTTGCAGAATCACTTCTCCAATCTAAGGTTCATCGACATATCCTGCCTGAGAGCAGAGTCAATGACTGTAGCCGCATTCTGCGAAATGCACTTGATTTGTCCTTGCCTAAGATGAGAACTACGAGGTACCGTAATTCCCCCATTCCATCTTTCATTCGATCCTTGAATAATAATAAATAGAGGCTTAGGTAATTATCAGTATGTTGTAGGTCATGTATTTCAGCAATAATATATTTATGTGCAATTTTAAGTGTCATGATGATTGGCACAGCAGGTTCTTCCATTCATTCATATTTTGATGTTGCATGTACTTTTATCCTTCCTCTCACTCTCTCATCCCTTTTCTCTATTCGAACTTGCTACTTTTCAAATTTCCTTTTCTCTTCTTCACTTCTGGTCTTTCCTCTCTATTTATATTTCACTCCCATCCCCTCTCTCTCAGCTCTGTCTCTATCTTTCTCTCTCTCTCTCTCCCTCTTTGCTCTCTCTGCCTCTTCCTCTTTCTCCCTTCGTCTCTCCTTCCTTCCCTCTGTTTCTCTCTCACACTTTCTGTCCCTCCCTCCTCTCCACCGCTGTCTCTTATGATGATGTTGTACAGTACAACATTCTATAATTATATGTTATTCTTACTGTGACCAATTAAACCAATATATGTCATGTATTTCAGCAATATAATTATGTGCAATATTAACTGTCATGACGATTAGCATAGCGGGTTCTTCCATTCATTCGTATTCTGATATTGCATGTACTTTTATCCTTCGTCTCACTCCCTCATCCCTTTTCTCTATTCGAACTTGGTACTTTTCAAATTTCCTTTTCTCTTCTTCAGTTCTGGTCTTTCCTCTCTATTCTTATTTCACTCCCATTCCTCTCTCTCAGCTCTATGTCTGTCTCTCTCTCTCTCTCTCTCTCTCCCTCTTTGCTCTCTCTGCCTCTTCCTCTTTCTCCCTTCGTCTCTCCTTCCTCCCCTCTGTTTCTCTCTCACTTTCTGTCTCTCCCTTCTTCTCTCTACCTCTTTCTCTTCTGATGATGTTTTACAGTACAACATTCTTTAATTATCTGCTATTCTTACTATGACCAATAATACCCAAGGAATTCCATTGTTCATGTGCAATATGTTTATACATTATACTGTACTCATATCACACTTGTGATTAGCACACTGACAAGACTCCAATTTTAATACTTTTTAATACTTTTTAATACCTTCTGAAGGGAATTTGTATTGCATTTTATCACAATTTTCCAATGTTACAGTTAATTGAACTCACGTATCTGTAAACCTTTTACTTGTTCATTTTTGGCTAGAAATATTTCATATCTTCTTCTTCTTCTTTTTTTTTTTTTTTTTTTGTTGTTATTATTGTCACTACTTTAATGTTTTGATTTAAACATTTATTCATTGTTAAATATTTGTTCTCATTTGCTATGTTATCTTTATATATATGTACATATGTTTTTGAATGCTTTTTATATGATTGTATGTTTGATGTAAACTTGCATTTTTAGTCTGTGGACTTTTTGACAAGTCATGAATAAAACCTTATTTGAAAAAAAAAGAAGAAGGGATTAGACCACACAGCGAGGTCACAGACAGGTGGCTATCTCATTAACTCAGCTCTCAACTAACATAAGAAAAAGAAGATCATGGTGGACCAACAGGCACCGATTGGGGAAGTTTTCTATATAGAGGGAGCAAGTAGCTACAAGTAGGACAGTGGGGCTTTAAAATAATATTTTATAATCAATCAGAATCTTTTGATATTTCGATTACTTTGATAGGTTTCCTATCCATTTCGGAGGCCTTTTCTCCGTTCTCTCGTTTTTTCAACTTATGCTGAATATTTCTTCTTTTTCTTATGGGAGCGTGTATTTCCAAGAGTTACCTTACAAGCATTCCCTTTATTATTATGTATCTAGCCCGACACAATCTCTAACAACTGGGAATTGCTCAATCGAACATATGTGTAGACTTTAATAGAAAATAGAAATCATACTGCAAAATATTTCCTCCTTTCTTTCAGGGTCCACCTTTACCTTTGCAAATTTGATACAACATGCGAGTGTTTTTTGTAGCCAAATCGGTTAAATGAAATAGGCCTATGTTCTGATTCATTATTTAATTTCAATTTTGTATAAATTTCAAAGATTTGTGATACCTAGAATTGACATTATTCTATATTTTTAGCCTGCCGCGATGGGGAGTTTGGCTCTGACTGTCTCCAGGATTGTCACTGTATAGATGGAATGCCGTGTAATGTGTTTACTGGAAGATGTGAAGAAGGCTGTGCTCCAGGATGGTCAGGAGAAGGCTGTCAAGGTAAAGTATCATACTGGGTGTATCCAGAGAGAGGGGAGGGTTCCAATTAAAATCAATTTAAAGAGAATTATTTCAAATATCAATCTAAAAAATAAAAACTTAACAGATGATGTAATGTTGTTTATGTAAAAAATGTAAAAATGCATTCTTAAAGATACAAAATACTTAGAGGATACACCGCTAAAGGAAAAAAAAGAAGAAGAAAAGAAAAACATTCGTATTTATCTGTCGATGAGCTGCTCTTTCCCTTATTGAACCAATGCTAGGAGCCTTCAAATTAGGGATGAATAATGTATCGTCGCGTTGCGTTACTCCACCTAGGACTTCCCAATGAATTGCAAAGTCTTCAATGAAACTTTAAAGTTCAAATATGCAAACAAAAGTTGCTACGATAGTATCCCACTGCTGTCATATATATCCACATGGCTCAGACACTTTTATGGACCTCATTAGCTATTACAGATACGGAACTATCTGCCAATGTCGGCCGTAAAAGAAGGAACACGGGAAGAAGAAAAAAACGAAGTAAAAGAAGGAGAAGAAGAAGGAGAAAGAGTTGATAAAAAATATAGAAAGAAAGTTTGTTTTACTTTGGATTCCGTGTCGCAATTGCAACTAAGAAACCAGATAGTTATAAACAATAAATCGAGACCAATATAAATCAAATCTTATAGTGACAAAATGAATAGGCCTATTATTTGATAAAGGAATCTTTGAAAATATTTGCATAAAGCTTTTAAATACGAAAACAAATTTATTGTTTTGCTTGTTTCACAGTGCCATCCGTTTGCCCACTGGGTTATTTTGGTGCCACCTGTACTGACCATTGCAACTGTCCAGATAATGTTGGTTGTGACAAGGTCTCTGGATTCTGCATCACAACAGGAGGTCAATGTGAAATAGGATTCACATCAGACTCGGTGGACATGCCCGATAGCTGCAGCTCATGTAAGACTCCATTCGTTGGTTTCATGCATAATTTATCATATCATTTTTCTGTCATCCGTTCTATCTGTTAGGCATATTTACATTGATAACATTCAAGTCATTTAGAAATCGTTATATGCCCAATCTTTCCCCTCTTGTTTTTAGATACTGGATGTTACAACCTGTGTTCCCGTACATGTCACTGTCGAGATGGTGAAGATGACTGTAACTCGGTGACTGGTTCTTGTAGCTCAGGTAGATGCCATCCACGATGGACAGGGGAAAGCTGCCAAATAGGTATACATCTTTACACATTTATTTTTTTTTCTTCATTTATTTCGATAGAGAGTTATTAATTAGTTTACACATGCGTTCACATTGTTTTGTTCAAATTAGGTTATTATTATCATTATTATTATTATCACTATCTTGATTATAATTATTATTATATCGTTGGTGTTGTCGTTGCCACACTTTTTTCTCTGTGAACTCACCATAATCCTTATCGCTAATTCTGTATCGGTCTTTTCTATGAGAGCACTTTTAGCCTTTAATATTTGCTGGGAAACTACAACGAAGACCCTTCATGCCTAACCTATTTTATTCATGTCCATATTTATATAACTGCTTAATACTTCCTTGTCAACAATTGAAAAGAAAGAATACCGTAAATTGGCAAAGACACGTCACAATTAAAAGTGGTCTCATTCGGAATGCAACCTCTAACTTTATCACTTGTATCCAAGCCTATTTAAGTAACTCTGTACTAGCTACGGTGAGTTGTGAGAAACCTGATAAAGGAGCTCTTATTTGGATTCCATTGTATCATTCATTTTTATTTGTCTGAAAATCATCACGTATATAAACTGTAGCAAGCAACTTGATGAGTTAACTGATTCCCCCACCCCCCCCCCCCCCCCTATCTGTCTCCTTTACGGTTAGGTCGCTTTCAATTTGCACGTGAGAAGACGAACCCGGGTATTGCCATGTTTTCCTGTGCAATCTCGTTCGATTCACCAACTAACGTTGAACCTGACTTGGTGAAAGCTACCACAGGGGACTTCTCAATGGACAACTGGGAAATGGCCAAAGATCCTCCACAAATCATCTCTTCAACACTACTCAATTTCATGTTCATCATCCAAGGTTTTACGGATAACAGTCCTATTTACTGTTTTATTGGGGACCCTTTCAATAATTCGTCCGAGTTCGGCTATGTGAGATTGGCATCTGCTGCTTTTTATGGTGCGTATGTCATACAATGCTTTATAAATGATTTCTATGTAGTTAACGTTAATGAAATCGCTAGACACTGTATGATGTGCATTTTCATAAATAAACTGTGTTTAGTTAATATTAAAGAAAACTTATCTTTAATATCACTACATAATACGATTATGTATGATATATCGAGGAGGGTGGCTGAATTATGGAATAAGCCCAAATGCACATGATTGAAGGTCCCACTTTCATAACTGTTTCAGAACAGAAATATCCGCTTTTGACCTGTTTTTTTCTTCTTAAAAAACAGAGCTGCCAATCTTAAATTCACTACCTACGTTAGTAGCAATCAGTCATTACTGGGTCGTCATTTCTTGGAGACCCTGGAACCGTTCCATCGATGCAGGTGATGGTCCCATTACTGGCTACAGGGTTTACGTTCATACTCAAGATGGGAACGAGACACACAGCGCTACCTTACTATCAGATGGATCGTTGGATACTGGGTCTTCAAGAGATAGGAGGGAAGTGACTAGTGAAGGATTAGACTTGTTGGAGTACAACATCACTGGTCTGGAAGACGGGACAAACTTCGAGATTCAAATCGCGGTGATTCGGGAAGGTCCGAAAGGAGAAGGAGATCGAGGATCTACTTTCAGTGTGAGGACCCAGGAGTTATGTGAGTTCTTCAGTTTTATTTACTTTTTGTATCTTACAGCTTTTCCACAGAATAATCGCTCGTTTTGTCGATCGATATAATAATTATAATGATTTAATTTAAGTAACTGAGTGGATATGAAATGTACTTACTTTCAAAAAGTGGGATTTAAGTCTCATTGTCGCATTTGAAAATTTATCAAACGGGAGAGTGGTTGCTTAGGAGTATTGCTTTTTTTGTTAAGTCACAGACCTCCAAACAGGATTTACACCAAGCCTTCTCTTCAAATAAATGCGTGTCTGATAAATAAAAAAATGTATTTAGATAACGATTCAGCTTTTGCATATCAAAATCGGAAAAGTAAAGGTTAGTATAGATGGCATTGGCCAACAACATTTCAAGCATTTTCCTAAATATTATCTAAAAATATTATTTTGGATCCATGAGATCTGAACAACTCACCTCTCTTGTTGCTTATTTATGATGTTTGGATACGCCATAACAGCGTGTTAAACTTATCTTCTCGTTGCTAATCATTTTTCTTGTTTTGAAAAAAAAAGGAATTTCTATAATACTCATGTTTAACGAGATCGTCTCAACTGAGAGAGTTATTTCGTTTATTCGTCTTGTATAATTAGCATATTTTAATGTCCCGTCATTTAATCCATGATTTTCAATCTTCTATAACTTTAAGTTTGCTCATGCGTGCTTTCGCGTGCTTTTTCTATTTTTGCAGTTGGAAAAAAAAGGTATGAAATTACAAAAGCTTGTGCTCGCTTTTTCAACTCATTACACATTCAACAATTGATGAGAAATCATTAAAAGGAACAGCAAACATTTGCTGAGATACCATTGTCTGATGTAGGAATTCTAAATCCTGATATTTCTTGCGCAATTTTATCTCACCACCTGGTCAACAGTTGCAGACTAGCGCATAACTTTTCGGCGGCTTGGAGCATGGGGTCAAAGGACAGCGGCTGAATTCCACTCCTTCTCTATACGTGCATTCACGGTTGTTTCATCGCAAAGCATGCCGGGACATAATTCTAGTACATTTTTACCTTCGCCGTGATCAGCTGTCCCGTTGCAAACAACGGGATTCTTATCGAAGCAACATCTTAATCTTGTACATAATCCGCTATTCTGCAGTGATTTTCTTTCACTCCAGTATCATTTGTACGGTAAGAAACCAAAGTTTGTGTTTATTCATTTTTATGACAAATAAAGCTGATAATACGACGTAATGAGAGTGGGCCGGGGTCCAACTTTAGTAAATGTAGGCCTAGATCTAGTCCCGTATGTTTAAATGTGTGTGCATTTTAAGTAGACTGATTGCCTTATAAGCTCCTAAACACTCGTGTTTTAGGTAGAAGTTAACCAAATTTACAGTAAAATGAGACTTATGTCTCAGAAAATATGAATAGGTCTAGATCCTATAAACTATACATAATTGATATTGGAATAGGATCTACTAGAATGGCCGACACGACAGTTAGATAGTGATGGTTTTTTGTTGTTGTTTTAGTTTTAAGGGCGTGTGTCATTCAATTATGAATATTTACGCTGTGGTGATGGCAAATGAATTAGTCTAGGCCCTAAATGTAAAAAAAGTAAAAAAGAGGCCATGAAAACGATAGATTTGTCGATCTGGATCTGGATATAATAGTCTGATATCGATGACCTCAAACTTGAGCATCTACATGGGTCTACATGAACTTGTGTTAAAGAAGTGACTTGTGTTAAAGTCACGTATCACTTCTGTTGTCCATTGTGAAATGAGCTCTCTCGTAGCATCTACGTCATCTTCTGATTCATCGGCCATAGTGTTTGATGATGCTGCAACTGATAAATAAAAGGAAAAAGACAATCAAATTTAAGTTTGTAACCTCAAGAATAACGGTAACAAAAGAACCCTTATCGCACCAGATCATGGGGAAGCATTTTTGTGCTAAAGGGTGACCCCAAAAAGGTGACCTTACCATCAGCTGAACGAAATATCGATCTGCCAAATGTTCATAATTTATTTTCGGGAAAAAATAGGTGCTCTAACCGACCCCCCCCCCCCCCTCTCATTCACCGGCTGGCTGAGTCGATGTGAAATTTTCGGCACGATTTTCAAATTTTAACCCCCCCCCCCCCCCCCTCGAAAAAATCCTTCATACGCCCCCGTCATGTAGATCCTCAAGTAGAGCTCATCAATACATAGACTATTATATTCAGATCAAGATCGACAAATCTATCGTTTTCATGGCCTCTTTTACTTTTTTTATTTTACTAATTGCCATCACTATCTAACTGTCGGCCATTCTAGTAGATCCTATTCCAATATCAATTATGTATAGTCTATAGGATCTAGACCTATTCATATTTCCTGAGACATAAGTCTCATTTTACTGTAAATTTGGTTAACTTCTACCTAAAACACGAGTGTTTAGGAGCTTATAAGGCAATCAGTCTACTTAAAATGCACACACATTTAAACATACGGGACTAGATCTAGGCCTACATTTACTAAAGTTGGACCCCGGCCCACTCTCATTACGTCGTATTATCAGCTTTATTTGTCATAAAAATGAATAAACACAAACTTTGGTTTCTTACCGTACAAATGATACTGGAGTGAAAGAAAATCACTGCAGAATAGCGGATTATGTACAAGATTAAGATGTTGCTTCGATAAGAATCCCGTTGTTTGCAACGGGACAGCTGATCACGGCGAAGGTAAAAATGTACTAGAATTATGTCCCGGCATGCTTTGCGATGAAACAACCGTGAAGGCACGTATTACCTCCCTTATATTAGCTAGCGACTCGCACTCAAACACACCCTACACCTATACGCACGCATCTATAGTTCTGATGTTGCGTTATTCTCAGTGATACTCTGTTTATGCCCTGGCCTGCTCCGGCCGGGGTTAGCTCAAACACTAATGTAAATTGTAACATTTTTTTCACAAGGTTATTTTTTAGGTCTATGCCATTCAGATATTTGATTCGATGTACAACTTTGACTATTTTATAGTATGTACGAACGAGCGTTTGAAACGGAATCGCTACAGCAATGACTTTGTCTTCTCCATATTTCCATATGTGTGGGGTGGGGTAGGGTAGTAAAAAAAGATATCCATGGCACAAGAAAGTTATTCAAAGTATCTATCATTTATCTATTAACTCTAATGCTGCATTGATATTTCGAACTCTTATCATTTCTTTTCACTACCATCCGACTTCACACAGCATCCTCTCCACCTTCAGGTTCCATAGCAACTGTCGCAGGAAGCGCTGTTGGTGCTATTGTTGTGATTGTTATCGTAATAATTCTCATCATCTTTTACAAGCGAAGAAGGTTAGAGAGATACCTTATTCTTAACTTGTTCCTCTCATCAGTCCATTCTCATCGTACTCCTCCACGCAAGATGCGCAAACCGTATTGTCAGGAAAATATAAGCTAAATTATATTAAATACTACGTATTTTAGAAGAAACTTACCAATTTCCACATGTCATGTTGACATTTTTCTATAAACCATTAATTGGAAATGTATTTTTTTTGTAATTATGTAATTCATCGATGCAATTTATCTATGCTTATATAATATTAACTTTTAGCGATGAATCAGCCACTACTAAGTCTGAAGGAAAGGAGTCCGATTCGTCTCCGCAGTATGAGAACCCTGTATTTGATCCGTCAAAGACAGAAGTTCATACCTACCAAGACCTGAATACCGACCCTAATACCTACCAAGATATCGGTACCGATGGTAATACCTATCAGGATCTGAAGGAACCTGATCAAGAAGCTAACTACGAAGCATTGAATGACGCCAACGTACCAGGCATTTAAACAATACTATAATGAAACACTAAACAAGGTCTTAATGTGCTGGTTAAGATATTTTTTTTTAATTTTAATTTGTTGCATATATATGTCGGTGTATCAATCATTCTGTGAAGATGCCTTTAAAACTTATCGTGAAATATTAAAGTTTATCTTAATAACTGAAAGAAAAGCTATGCTGATGAACTTGGGCGTTTCCTTTCATGTACCCAATCAGGATACCATGACGAAAAGTTGTCAAAACCTATCATAGCTTTTTTCTTCTTCGTCCCGTGCTCCTCTTTTTATGTTATCATTTACCATGTCTATTCGCATTATTCCAAAATCTTTTGATATTGGGGATCAGTTGAAATACCATGATTAACACATGTCTGATGAATTTGGGTAAAATAGTTGTTGACATTAGGTCACACCACTACATGAAAGTCAGGGTATGGGATTATAGTTTCTTTAAATGGATATATATAGTTATCTTCTTTCACTGAAGTTTGTTTCCTACTGTCGTTTTCTGAATAATGTAAATGATGTATACAAAAAACATGAATCTTACATCATGGAGCACCAAAATATATTTCTATTTTTTAAATTGTATTTTACGATTTTAGTTTGAATGATTCAATGCAGGTGCAAATTGTATGGGAAAATGTATTGAGTCATGTATATATACGTATGCCATAAAGTACGAATGCATATTCCATCATGTTAATCGTGTTTTGAGATATCAGTAGGACAATATAATATTCGACTGTACTTTTTATCTGTATTGATCACTAATGTTATTGCCTGTTATTGCTGGTGGAAAACATAATTAACACATTCTTGTACAAGAATTAATAGATAATTAATTGTTATTATTATCATAGTTATTGTTATTATTACTACGACTACGACTACTAAGCAGTGAAATTCATGTTGGTTAATATGTCGACGCGAACGTGTAAGGATGTCAACGATTAAATATGAAAATATAAGTTTTGAATATAGACATAGACTATGCATAATAAAATAAACTTGTATTGTATTGTATTTATTAAGCGTTATTGATGTACATTAATAATCTTTTTATAGACATATAAATCATATAAACCAGTTTACAATGCAACGTAGCAAATCAATTTTCTGTTTGTAAACATATATATCATATAAATCAATTTACAATGCAGTGTAGCATTGTATTATGTAAGGCTGTATATTTAAGTAAAGATTAGATAGTAGCATTAAAAGTTAATTAAAGTTAGATAATGCAATCCAAGTGGATGTATAAACATAATTATGAGCAGGGGATTTCGGGGCACATATTAAATGTGAATACTGATAGATATACTTATAAAATGCACAATATGTAAACATGAAAGTAGTATGACAATAAAGAATACCAAAAGAAAGACTCATTTATTTTGTTTTAAACTCGCCAATCATCAAAACTAATCCGTCAGATTATTAATAGAGTTTGGAATTTGGCAAACTGTGCTGAAAGTCTGCCAAATACCAGCCACACTACTTTGCAGTAACAATTACCACATACAAATAATAATGCATTAATCGGGTGGAGATGTTTTTTTTTATTAATTGACTCCCCTGAGGAAATGCTAGTGTTTCTAACAGTCTTGGTATACGTCTTTTCATGCTCGATGAAAGTGTTGAAAAGTAAATGTCAGGCTGATTTGCATTTAGAGATGTTTTTTGATAGGTTGGATAGGAGTGGACTCAATAGTTCATAACAAACAAGGAAGACACAGGGTCGGGTGGCTCACTTTTGGGGGGAGTTTAAACATAAATGTAAGACTTCTCACCGTTAAAACACACGTTTTAAACTATTTAGTTACACATTTGGAGATAGAATTCATCTTGAAATTGATATTGGTTTGAAAACTAGAAAATATGCTTTTCAGATTACCCATCCCTTCGAGACTGTTAATGTTCCCAAAGAAACAGGTGTAAAAATCTTTTACCAAGATCTTTTGATATTTTCTTTTCATACAAGTAGGCCTATTACATTTTATAGTCCACTTATAGTCACAATGTATTTTTCACTTTTAGCTGATTAGATTTGTAGACTATATAAAGGAATGGTTTACCTTAAGTAAAAAGAGGGTGCACAAGTCTGGGGAGCTCCTCAAATGTCTCTGCCCACCGTAACCACTACGGTATTCGCCAACTATACATGCGTCATAGCAAGTTTCGGAAGGTACGGTCACGCATCAACACCATACTCAGTGAGGATTGTGATGAAGAAGAACCTTCCAGAGTCCCCCGACCGGTCCTAGCTGCTCCTGCCTCCGTGCGTGCGACCCTGTTCAGCACCAGCTACCTACACCACCACGGCGTCGGAGATGTACCAGCCAACTCCCCAGATGTGGAGATTGACACAACACACCGGCTGCGTCAGTCTGGGGTTCACATGCAGACAGCTGACGATGTGTAGCAGCCAATGCAGCCACACTTCCAACAGCAGCAGCCTCAGTACCAGCGGATGTTGCCGGTGAGCCTCCTCCTCCTCCTCCTCAGCATTGGGTCCATACAGGCAGCCTAGTCCAGAATCTGGCCCATTTAATTATTGTAATCTCAACCAGTATATCAACGCAACCTCCCCTACGTACTTGCTACCAGCCGAAGATGGCGTGATCATTAAATTGGGACGCCCGACGAAAACATAGGCTGGTGAGCATAATTATGAGTTCGTTGATAACGCCATCTTCGGCGGCTAGAATCAAGTGTCTAGGGAATATAGAGAACAGGCCAGATTCTGGATTAACAGCAGCCACGCTTCGCCTCTGTATCTGCTGCTCTAGGTTCGACTGGCCAGGTATTAAAGCCCCACTGTCCTACTTGTAGCAACTTGCTCCCTCTATAATTATAGAAAACTTCACCAATCGGTGCCTGTTGGTCCCCCATGGTCCTCTTTTTCTTATGTTAGTTTTGAGTTTGAGTTTGAGTTTATTAACAACAAAAATAAAAACAAGTAAAACATAATGTATCAAGCATGATTACATAAAATATAACAATATAACACAAGATCGATAACATTACACATGAATAATATAAATATTGTTTTACAAGTATGTCGTATACAAATGGAATAAAATATTATGTGTACACTTTTGTTGTTAAAGGGGGGTACCAGAAGTTAGCACAAGTGCTAGTCGAGTCTGGTTCCCTGTCTTTGGCAAGAATTTTAAAACTTTTTTTTTTTTTTTTTTTTTTTACTATACTACATTATATACATGTAACATAAACTATATAAGTAAACAAAAAAATAGAATAGTCCTTTAGAAATATTCCTTACTTAATATACATGGAAGTCAAATGTGTGTCGACTTCCGTATCAATACCAAACATACAGTAAATAAAAAATATATCATTATCTACTATCTAGTGATCTTTTTATAAATTCTCTAATCTGAGATTTCTTTTTGCCATTTTAAGAAGTTTTAACTTTGTTTAACTCAAAGTATCTAGATGTTTCGTTAACCCCTTCCGAAAAGCATTTTTAGATTGTATTCCTCTTAAATCGTATGGTATACTATTCCATATTTTCACGCCCATAAATGATATTGAAAATTGACCTTGTGTGGTTTTGCATTTAGGCAGATATAGTTGTCCTTGTTCTTTGCCCCTTGTGCCATATCTGTGCTCTATTACCTGACAGTATTCAATTAAGGAATGAGGAAGATTGCCATTTAATAAGTCATAGATGAAGGTTGAGACAGATAGGAAATGAAGGTTGTAAATATTTAAAAAAATTATCTTTTGGAACAAGGCACTATGAACATGACTGACAAAGCAAGCGGACAAAATATACAGTTCCTCAGGTAGACAAAAGAACATCCCTTCACTGCTGTTATGTAAAAATGTGTAGAACAGGTGTCACATGCATATTCACCTTTTTACATAATGACAGTGAAGGGATGTTCCTTTGTCTACCTGAGGAACTGTATATTTTGTCCGCTTTCTTTGTCTGTCATGTTCATAGTGAGCGTTCCGAATGGGTACCTCTTGGGCCAAAAGTTATCGCTCTAAAGGCCCGGTCACACAGAGGGGACGCATGGGGAACGCATGGCCAGCGCATTGGAAATTTGCAATTTTGGCCAGTGCGTTGTCGTGCGCCCAACTTTTGTCGTAGCTGACACCAAATTCATAGCGTGTTGCTAGCGCGCTGAGCGCATACAGGGCGCATACAGTGCGCATACAGACCGTACCCAGAGCGCACATGATAACAACTTCCACGAATGCACAGCGTGTTGCTAGCGCGCTGGACGAATGGTCCACGCATGCACCGCGTTCTACGACGCACGGCCAGCGCATTGGAAATCGGAAAAGGCCGTGTGCCTAACTTTTGTCATGATTTTTGAAAAGCTAGCGAGCTGACACAAAATGCACAGCGTGTAGCTAGCGCGCTGTGCGTATACAGGGCGTGTGCCCCGCGTATGTCTGGCGCTGGTCTAGCGCGCTCAACGCACGTCTGGCGTGCCTTTGGCGTGTACATTCATGCGTCGAGCTCCGCGCACACTTTTGAGCATGCTCAAAAAATCCCGACGCACACAGCGAATGACGACGAATGCATAGCGCTGGTCCAGCGTTGGTCCAGCGCGCTCGACGAACGAGTAACGCGTGATGACGCACGCCTAGCGAACGACAACGCACTGGCCAAAATTGGAAATTTTCCATGCGCCGGCCGTGCGTCCCGCATGCGTCCCCTCTGTGTGACCGGGCCTTCAGAGAGCTGAGTTAATGAGATAGCCACATGTCTGTGACCTCGCTGTGTGATCTAATCCCTTCTGGCCCAGTAGTATTGCCGGTCTTTAAACCAGAGCCCCAGCGCCCTTGACCCTTCTCAGGATTAGCAGAGACAGTGTTTTTGCCATTTTTTTGCTATTTTGTGTATATACATGACCACTGTTATCATGTACCATTATTTTTCAGATGAGCAATGAAGAAAAGTTGCGTGAAGTCTTGATGTTTATTGATGATATTTTTTAAATATAATTCATAAACAATAATAAATTACTAATGGCCTTATGGTCTATCTTTATTAACTTGTATTTAATAGGTGTGGCCATTATCCTTGCTCATAAATAGAAAACAAAAGAACTGTTACTTGGTACTTGGTTGAGTAATCCCTTTGGCAGCTCACTCAGGAAGCTATACTGGGATGTTCATTGTTTGTATACAAACAAAGTGGTACGTTTATTTATTTAGATAATAAGAGTGTATAATTTATAAGACCAATGCTCAAACGTGTTTATTTACTACTGAGTGCTTTAATGACTAGGAATGCATCTCTTCTTGTCTATAGAATGTTATCAAGGGTCTTAAGTCATAATAAAGGGACATGACGTTCTAGTATAGACCCCTAAACATGGTTAATTACTACATTATATTTCTGTTTACAAAAATCATATATACCAGCACTTTTACACTAAACCATGCAGACCCATTCAAAATGAAACATGATTTTCCCTTATCCCATTTACAAGATGGCACATCTCTTGCGTGGGGAACCCAACTCTCAGTTGGGGTAGGCTGAAATCTCCTCACCCTGGGGAGATTTGAGTCACGTGACGGTGACATCTTTTCTTAAACCGAGTTTTACTTTGAAATGCATTCAACTTAAATATCAAAACCCTCACTGCATTATAACATAGGAACTAAACTTGAAATGAGTACATTCTATGATGTTCATTTCAAAAGGAACCTTAATGTATGTGAGGTCCTTTATTGCCTGAACAGTGCAGTAATACAAATATCATAATTATAGATCATCCTGTCTTGCCACGGAACTGCACCAGCTGGGGAGTTAACCCAGTGCTTGAGGAGATTCCTCTCTTTCTTTCCGTTCCTGGAGGCAGTATATTTGGGTCACTAGCTGTCTGTGAGAAGTGACGTCCCTCTCGCCATGCTCTTGGAACAAAGTCCCGGTTCTCATTCCCTGCCCGGTCAAGCTGCTGGTTATGTAGTCCTAGGTCCCTGGAATTTGAATTTGAATTTGAATTCATTTACTTATACAGCGCACCTATACTAAGTCTTTGACAATGAGCTTGACAGTGGTACCCACTCTTTCGAGGACAGTGGCAGGCCACGTGCTTCACATCAAGTGCCCCACTTGAATGGGGAAAGTTCCATCTTTGAAAGAACTTGTCAGCTATATGGCATACCCAGCAATGTCAGGAGCACTTGGGCAAACCAGCACCGTCATCCACGTATTCATCAATAATGGCTTGGCAGACTTCTCTGACCACTAGGGACTGGGTGTTGTGAGGGACCCTTCATCGAGGCAAACTTGTTCCCAGAGGCAAGGTGGCGCAAAGTCAAGGCCAAAATCATGCCTGGCTCAAGCGGATCCCTGTAGAAGGTGTACTGCTTGCAGTGGCGTTAGCAGGATATTTTCAAGGGGGGGGGGGGGGGGGGGGGGTAAGAGGACATTTTTTTAAATTTTTTTTGGTCTCGAAATTTGAAAAATTTGACATTTTGCTCCATTGGGGGGGGGGGGGTAAGGTCACCTTTTTTAGGTCAACCATTGGTATTTTTTTTTTTTTTTTTTTTTTTTTTATTAAAAACAAAACAAAAAACAAATTACCAAAGGGGGGGGGGGGGGTTCCTCCAAAATACAAACATTAAAAAAAAGGGGGTGGGTTTAACCCCCCCCCCTGTTACACCCACAAATGTAATAACGCCCCCCCCCCCCCCCCCCCTGCGTACGCGCCTGACTGCTTGGTTATCCTTGGACCTACTCTGACTAGCAACTCTTCGAACAACGCTGGGTGTATACGCAGGAAGTAAGTTGGTGAAGTGAAGAATAAATAATAATAATAATAATAATAATATTCATTTCTATAGCGCCGTCTATCTAGCATTTCTATTCCGAGGCGCATTTATTATTACCCCGGCTTTAGCTTAGCTGTCATTAAAGCGCTCCAGCATGTCAAGGAATTAATTCCTGCCAGGTTCCCATTTACATCACCTGGGTTGAGTGTGGTAAATGTAGATCAATGTCTTGCCAAAGAACATTCGTTCGGCGGGACTTGATCCGCGGTCCTCATTACGAAGTTCCAACATAAGCTGGTCATACATGCCACACAGCCATCGTCGCCCGGTCCACGGTCTCACCCAGTTCCTTCTCCTCCGTTCATCTCTCCTTCTCCTGGCTCTGTTGGCACCTGGCACGCAACTGATACAGTGTCAAATCGGATGACATCTCCAATTACTTCAATGTTGGTAAGGACAAACGTTGCAATATGTCATATACATAACCAATTCCCCCTGCTACCTTAAGGATTGACGCCCCTGGTTAATATCATTGTTTGTGTCTCAATACAATATTCATAACTGTGGTTTATTGAAGTATATTGATTCATGCCATACTATTTTACTGAGACTATTTATTTTTGAAGAATGCCATTGAAAGTCCAGAAAATGCAAATGTAATTTATGCAAAATTGGTAGAATGTTTTTATATTTTCATATGATACGATGTATGAGTAGTACACATTGTTTGATTCGATGATCAGGACTACCCTTCATCTACTACCATCCTACCTCTACTTCCCCTCGACAGCCTACTTTCATCCTACATACTTTCATCCTACACTACCATCTCATCTCTACTACTACCCTACATCTACTACCACCCTAACACCACTACCATCCTACTTATATCAACACCCTTTATTTGGTATTAACAAGTAGATAGTTTTAAATTCTTTCATATAACATCAAACAATTAAATGGTGTTTCAAGTTTTCCTTGAAATATTTGTTTACATAATACTATTTTTCGTCAAGAGGGCTAGGTTTTTCTGGACGCCCCCTCCGATTAAAGGGTGACGGCATTAAATTGGAGAAAAACAAAAATGGACACAAAAATCATCTCTGAAAGTAGTTTATGACAAAATCTTTCGAATAAATAAAGTGTGCTTACTTTAAAGAAGTAGTGGCGACCAACTCTAAAACAGAGCATGATATTTGACTTTATCCCTACGCTCTTAACCATGAACATTGATCAGTTGATGATTAGCTAATTCCAACGGGTTAATTCTTGTCATGGCCCTGGAGCACTCGAGGAAGAACCCCCTCCCCTTACTGTTCTTTCTGTTGGTGGGATTTTTTTTTTTTTTTTTTTTTTTTTTTTTTAGATTTGATTTATTGGTTTCTGCATCTTTTTTCTTTTTTCATCATACATTTTCATGAACATAATATGGTTTGTACAATATTTTAAGTGTATACAATTTTATACAGATAATAAACGAATTGACGTTGAAAATCAAATAAAACAGATATTATTTTTTCTATCCTATGAAGAGAGGAGATTTTTACCCTATAGGGATATTCCATTGAGGGAGAATCATTGGGTCACTCGGAAAAGGGCATTTTATTCCGAAGGAGAGGTACCTTCATTACTCAGGCGAAACTGTGACGCATGGACACTGGCTCCATTGCTGCTGCTTTTTTTTACTTCCACATCCGTGATCGCCAACAAAACAAGACCTCCTCCCTCCTCAACCCCCCCCCCCCTGCTCTCTCTCTCTCTCTCTCTCTCTCTATCTCCCTCTCTATATATTTCTCTCTCTCACCCTCTCTCTCTCTCTCTCTCTCTATCGCACTCTATCAATATATATATATATATATATATATATATATATATTTCTATGTCTCATTCTCTATCTATCTTTTCATCTCTCTATTTCACTCCTTATCTTTTCTTGTTTCTGACATTACAATATTTTTCCCTTTGTCTTTCTAAATTTGTTCCATCATGCCTGATGTCTTCAAGTAGGCTTCCAATAAATTATAATTGCATCGATTAGTGTTTCTCTGATGCGAAGGTAGTTGACAAGAATCAATAGATACATATCATTCCCTACATTATTGAACTTTAATGTTTGTTTACACTCAAGTGCAGTGGGTTTGAAGTTCAATTTGAACAGGAGACTTAGTCTCCAGGCACAGACCCTGATTTGACACTTAACCACACTTCATAAAACCTTGATCAGAGCCTAGCTTTATCAGTCTCTGGCTGCGTCAAATATGAAGTAATAATAATAATAATAATAATAATGTAACTTATATCGCGCCAAATCCACTCTGTGGAGTGCTCAAGGCGCGTGTGAACAGGAAAAATGATCAAGACTTGAAAAGGAAGGGCTGCTAAAATCATGGAGTAGGCCCATGCTTAAATACAGAATTTGTGAAGTATACAATCGGCGTAGTCTCAAAGTGAAGACACATTTGTCGACTGACTGGGCAACCGCGGAAAAGAATAGGTCCGATATCATGTTAATCTTTTATTATGTCTGCCTTTAATCAGTCACCAACGACATCATGATAGCAACCATCGTGTGAAGGGCTCTCGTAAAGATAAAGAAAACAAAGTGAATAATGACTAATTCAAGAAAAGATAGAAGAGATGTTCGAGTAAAATGTTGTGCTTACAGTTCTATAATCACAGAGAAATGGAAAAACGAAACGAAACTTCAATAGAAAAGAAAAAAAAGGAAAATAACGGGGAGAGGCGAAATGTGACCGCGACATCGCAAAAAATAGGATCACAATTTGCAATCTTATGTGAGGAATGAAAGGAGTGGCTTGGGTACATAATTGCAAAGGCACCACCATCACGATGAACGGGGGGGGGGGGGGGGTAGCATCATTCTAGTGGGTGCACATGGAATTTATTAGCGAAGCAACAAATTTGAAGAAAGATTCCCACCTCCTCTCCCTCACTATCTTTGTCTCTCTCTTCTCTCTCTCTCTCTCTCTCTTTCTCTCTTCCTCTCCCTCTATCTAGTCATATCTTCACAATTCTCTTTTTTGTCTTCTTTTTTTCTTTTTTTTTTTGGGGGGGGGAGGGGGGCAACGTGCCCCTGTACAGCCAATCGATACGCTACATGCCCTAACTATTTCTCATGCAGCAGCATGATGCACCCACTGATAATGAACATATTCATTTTCATTTCGTTTATATTTAATCAAATTTGGTAAACAGCCCTTTGATCATCATGAACAGAGGGTGTGTACACTGGTATATATACGCCACTGAGAAAGCATTATGCTTTGCTTTTGTTATGGGGAGGACTTTGATAAGAGGCGTTAACGTTGTCTGAACACTAGTCTTCACCGAAGACTACATAAATATCCCAAAGTCGACATAGTGCCTCTTGAGAAACGTCTTGTGAAACGTTTTGAGAAACGTCACAACTCGAATGAAATTCATGCTCAATAACAATCTTCTTTGCAAAGAAAACTAATAAAATATATCAATTTATGACCAAACGGTGGAACAAATCGTACAAGTACTAGGGTGTTCTGAATCTGAAAAAGATTAACTTTCGAAAATCTTTGCACTCATAATGCCCTATTATGTCCCCGAGTTCTGATCTTTACACAAAATTGTTGATATTTTCTATAAAATAATATATTTTAGCTCTCTGAAAAGGCTGCTTTTTTCATTGGGGATGTGCGGGGTGAGGGGTCAAGGCAATCTTATCGATGCATATTCTAATAATGACGAGTGCCTACTTTGCTACTCTAAAAATAACTTATTGGAATATTATTATCATGATCATTAATCTCTTTAGTTTATATTGATATTGATATTGATATTTGGTTATAATGACTTTGTGCCTTACCTGTCTCTAAGTTGATGTTTATTTTAAATTCAATAAATGAATTATGTTGTTTGTTTTTCTTCTAATAAAGCTCGGAGAAAATTAGGGAATATTAAATGAGAAAGAATCTTGGACGAAGACTATCTAATATTGACAGAGTTCTTAGGTTACTGAAGCAAAGTCTGTTTAATCAGGGAGGTGTTTTAACTCACATACCCTGGTTTAATGATCGTCAACTTCAGATAGAAAAATACCTTGGTTGAGAGCGCACCGTATAGATCAATCACCTCATCGTAATACTGCTACCGAAGGGTTTTGCTGATTTCGTAAACGATCTCGACCAGGAAAACGACGATGAAGACCTTATTATTTGCAGTCATGGTCATCTTGACCATTTCGTCCATCAACGGACAAGGTAAGTTAGTAATACTAAATTTCACAATCAATACTGTTTTGTTGAGAGTACTTTTTACTGCTATTTTGGTATTCAGTTAACCTTAATTATCATACTATATACAAAAGTCAATCGACCGCAATGCTGTGTAACATTTGTATTTTGTATTTCATTTTTAATTGTTTTTTTTTTCACGGCCTCTTTGTAAACTAGCCTGGCTGCTGAATGGGCTTCTTTTACCCCGTTTAATATCAATCAATCAATCAATCAGTATTGATTCGAATTTATACATTCATGTTATCAGACAGAAATATGCCCCCTCCCGGTCCCGTAACCTGATGCAGGGTTTAAAATTGATATCATAAATGGTGTTTAATATTCACACCTCTATCTCTATCTTTTTCATAAGATTATGTCAACCACTGGCAACTTTGTAAAGAGTGTTTTTTTTTGTGTGTACACCTCTTGATTAACAATATAACTGGTTTCCTACTGGTACAGGGGTAAAGATTTTGGCCATAAAACTTTCAAAAGAGATAGTGAAAAGCCCGTTTTCGCCACTTTTCGAATATCTTTGTTCACAATCTGTACAAAGGGATACGTATCGGAAAGGTAAAAGTTGAGCAAGAATTTGCGATGAACGATGCAATGAATTAAAGATCTAATAGAAAATATTCAACAACTATGCACTCTTAACCCTTTGCTTACGGGAACCTGTGGTTCCTGTGTTAAGCTTATTGGACCTATACAATTCAGTAGTTAAAAAATTGGATTATTCCTAAAACACCGCAAGACCGACTCCACACCGATCGATTCTTTCCTATTGTGGGTAATGTATTGTCTTGTTCGGTCTGGGGTCGGTCTTGTGTCGGGCTCGTCAGTGTGACTGAGTATTATATTTGCATTGAAGAAACTACAGCCCAGGCGACCTATAGCATATAGCCGGTCTCGTGAAGCTACCAGAAAAGGTTCTTAACGATCCATGAGAAGAAATCATGGTTGGTCTCATGGGCAACCGGTCTCATAGGCTGTCGTAGTCAGTCTCGCGGGCCGTCGTACCGGTCAATACCAGGTAGAGAACCAAGCGTTCACGTTTAAGGGTGTATAAACAGGGCCATTTTCTTTTGTTACTAAACACCCTGAATAAACAGCTCTCAGGCTCTATTTACTTGTGTCAAAGTACAGACTTCATAAAGCACGTCCTCGATCCGATCATAAAATCATAAAAAATGGAGTGTGTGATTTGAAGAAAAGAGAAGAGGATAAGATTTGAAGGGGCTATGCAAAGGAAAATCCTCCCCCAACGAGTCAATATTTGATCCATCATACGTGACATGTTTATCAAATGCCTGGTGTACCTAGGTGAGAAGGAGGAATAAGTATGAAGAGAAGAACGAGACGAGAAAGAGAAGTAGAAACGCAGACAAGAATCTATATCGCCCAAGATCACGCCATCCATGGCTGCTGCATTAAGCAATGGACTTCGGTCCTATAATGGTCTGGAAAATAAACTGGGAAAAAAGGCTTATCTTTTCAATCATCAATGATAATTAATATTCTATTCTCCGTCATTTTTTAGATAACGGTTTTGTTTTTGTCGCTCCTCCCCCACCCCTCCCCCCATCTGTAATAAATACATTTTCACTGTGTCATAGTTGGTATGGAGACTCCTTTGTGACAACTACCAAAAAGATTATGACAAATCAGAAATAACTACAAAGGAAATTGAATAGTAAGATATTTAGTAGCAAAATATACTTGAAATCGAATGCTCAAATCAATGTCTCCGTTAATCAAGGCAGTGTACCTTATGAACTTTTCGTCTAGCTGCTGTTTGTTTTTATATTAATATTAATGATAACGTATAATGTATGGCAGAGTATCCAGTTTAAAGAAACACACCTCTCACAATCATGCGCGCATGGTCTATTGGTTTCATTTCGGCTTGTTTTATCAATTAATTTGATTGTTGGCATCCGTTGTTGTTGTTGCTAGAATGGCAAATGTAGTACGGCCACATGGCCATTGTTGTGTGATGATAATGCAGAGCAAAACCAAAGGCATTTTCTTACTCATTATCCTGAAATTAATCCTAACCGAAATAACAAAACATGCATTGTTAAGAAAAATTCAACGGAAAAAAAATATCAGCTTCCAATTACCACTCTGCAATGATACGCGAAGGGCTTATAGAATGCTGTAAAAGAGTATACAACAACAACGACAAAAGAATATTCAAAGTCCCTGATATGTCGACCGATACCTGACAAAGCTTCTCCATGATTATTTCGTGCATTCTATGGTCGGTCTGCAAGGTATCGGTTTCTTTGGTGTGTCTGGGGTATCAGGGTCGAAGCGCGCCTTTCACCCTTATGTAAAGCCCTTCTTGAGGTGTTCCTTTGTGCATTGTACTTGTTTTCGCGCTTCAACCATGGAGATTCTTCTTATATCTCCATGCTTCAACCTAGGCATATTAGTGTGTCCAATCTTACCCCGTATGCTAGTCTCATTGTTCTGATATGCTAAAAACATGTTTGGAAAACCGGAATCGCACGTTGATCAAATTTGAATATGCCTAGTGTTGTTGTGAAAAGTAGGAGTGCAAATATGGCCCCTAAAATCAAGGGCTGGTATTTCTTTCTTTATTTTCTTATTTTCTTCATCATTCTGAGCATACGGCAGAAAGAGACTTTGCCCGTAGTATGATCCCTCATATTGACTATAATATGATTGCTGGGCTGGGGTTGCATTGCTCGTATGTTTTCTACTCTCTTTCTTTCTCTCTCTCTCTCTCTCTCTCTCTCTCTCTCCCTCTTTCTTTCTAGCCTTTGTCTGTCCCCTGTTTTTCCCCTTAAAACTTATTCTGTCTTCGAATTTTGAAATTCTTTCTCTCTCTCTCTTTCTCGCCCTCTCGTCAGGTACATTATATATTCGCCTTATTCTGCTCCTTCTGTTTCTTTATCATCCTTAAAGGCTAGTCCCACGTAGTTTGCAATCACATATTCTATTTCGACTTGACCAATAAAATACCCCAGCCTCCTTTGATGATATGCCACCCAAATTATAAAAAAGTGAAAAGGACATTCACAGCAAGAGATTAATATGCCTATTGATCTGCCCTTCCCCTCGTCCTCCTCAATCCCTCCCTACATTAATCTTCCGAGAAACGTGACATCACCATTAAAGGTATAGACCAGTTCTAGTCATGCGATTGCATTGTGAAAGAAACGTTGTTGAATCGATCAGAAAAGGTTGATCATCTAGCATATAAGTATTGGTGTATACTGCAAGAATCTGGAATCAGCAAAATGATAAGAAATTTGGCCCAGTCTTGGTAAAGTTACAAGCACTGTACACAGAAAGATGTATATGGGACTACTGGACTACTATCTATCCAGTCCGGATAGATATAATAACTTACCAAATAAATCAATTAGTTGGCGGTTTCCCGGCAAAATTTGTATCATCACGTATTAGTCAAAACATATTCTTTCACATGATTGGTAACAAGAGCTTCAATTTCATTTGTTGAGAGGGGGCGTTTCCAAAACTGGTTTATACCATTAAGGGTCCCCAAAGGCACTTTTGTAAGAAACATGTACTTGGTGAAAAGACCGATGCGTCTTTTGTTTCATTAAGCATGAGGTCATGGTTCCCTTTAGAAATGGCGCACCAAGCATTGAATGCCCTTTTATAATGACAAATAATTCAATTCAGTAATGCATATTACGGTCATTGATCAGTTTACGAGCTTTATGGACTTTTCCCCCTTTTGTGTTTTATCTAATTTAGCCTATCCAGCCAACTGTCCCTGGACTATGTGGGCAATATCCCTCAAACCGCAACCCCTACGACAAGACTAGTGACCCATAGGACTTTAACTCTCTGTTGTAACTTTAACTTTAACTTTAACTCTCTGTGTACACAAGCTCCTCCAACAATAACATTGCTCTACGTCAATTCCCACACTAGCTGCTTTCTTAACGTCAACCCTAGGCCTAATACTATATATCTAACCTTAAACTAAACCCCGACCGGAACCCTAACCCTAATAACTCTCACCCTAAAGTACATACATGTGGCTAATGTTTGCTTACCAATACCTCCCTGCCAACATTAGGGGCGTCGGGAGATTTGTTCAGGGCAGGCACGGATCTAAGATTTCCTAGGGGGAGGCCCAAATTTGTAATCAATCTGAAATTTAGTGTGCTGAAATTAAAAAAATCGTGCCGGTCGATATTTCACTCAGGGGGGGGGGGGGGGGAGGGGGGAGGGGAGGGGGGTAGTGAACACTAAGCTTTGTTCTTCTATATTTTGACCCCAAACATTTGAAAATTGCGCTGGCCGATAGTGAGCACTTCTTTATTTTTTACTTAACACCCCCTCCCCCCTTCCCCTTGAGCAAAAAAGAAAATTTCTGGTCACAATTTCTCTTCTTTTTTGTCAGGAGGGGGGTGGCAAGGCCAGCTCGGCCTACCCTCCGGATCCGCGCCTGGTCCAGGGCTCCGTCCTGTAAAGAGTTACGATTAATCCAAATCAATCACTAGTCATTCTATCAATGGCTGGTTTTCCGTCTCTTTTCTTTTAATATGTATTATAGTTGCGATTGATATCAATTGCAAATAAGTTGCGATTAACAATTAACAAACAGTCTGTATAATATTTTAATAATCCAGATATACAGTGCGTCCCAGAAAAAACGAAACCGAAAAGTATCGATGTTCTATCATTACTTAATCACAACTATAATTAATAAATGATACATATTTGGAAAGCTTAGAGTCTCCTGTTTCATGTGACGCTACTCAGATAATGCATATTTCACACATGAGTGATAAAAAGTGATTTGAAGGAAGGAAACCAAAAAGACATTTGGCGGGCGGTATCTTAATTTCGAAGAAAAATTCACATTTCTAGAAAGGTGGGTTTCTGCCCTTTCATATGACACCTCAATCAGGAAAAATGAGCTAGGAATGACAAAGTTCCGTTTGTTTAAAGTAGTGCTTGCATTTCCATAATTTTATTAAACGAATTCGTTTTCACTGGCTGCCTGCCGTATCAATAAACGAAATTAACAAAAGACTTATAAAACTCCGTTTCGTTGACAATCAGCCGTAGACGAGAGTCTTCATGCATGGCTGATTGTCAACGAAACGGAGTTAAGTCTTTTGTCAAATCTGCCTTTTGCTACGGCAGGCACGCAGTGAAAAACTGAAAGAGGAGACTCTAAGCTTTCCAAATATGTATCATTCATTAATTATGGTTGTGATTAGGTTATGATAAAACATCAATACTTCTCGGTTTCGTTTTTTCTGGGACGCACTGTATACAATACGTACATTTGTTTTGCCTACTATCTATTTTTATTTTTTTCAATTTCCTTTTATCACTTTCAGATCTCGAAGGTACATGTGACCCTTCTACAGGTATCTCGGACACAGACGTAAGTTGCATTGTCTCCTCCTTCTAAGTTTCAAAACTCTGTCCATACTTTCTTCAAATTGTCGATATAGTGTCCTCATGATGTCCATAGAAAAGGAACAATGTTTGTGATGCTGTTTTACTATGTTACTGTAACTTTACGGTGCTTATAATGTCTGAATAACAATATCTATTTTCACTATACCATATTATCTTAATGATTACATAGTATTTTAACAAAAACATCAATTCTTTCAGTCATTTTACGAGTCTACAGAATGTTCACGATTTCATGGTATTTTCATGATTCAATAATATTTGTTATGATTTCAAGAGTATACATGTATTTCATTATTATAATAATAATAATAATAATAATGATGATAACAGTACATTGTTTTAGTTGAGTTCTTGATTAAGATCGCAAGTGCCTTGAAAGTACATGTTATTAATGTTTTTATGCTTATTTATGACATTTCTAGTGCCTTTTTAGGACCTGAAATTACTATGAAGGTAATTTTAGACCCCAAAATGTGTGAAATTTAGATTAAATCCGATCATACTAATTCAGCTCCATTCTCAAAAAAATACGGTGACCGTTAATTAATAAATTAATTAATAATAACAATACCCGGGCCGCGTCTTATTTGTTCGTGCCACAGCGAGCCCAGATTCCAGTATGTACTCATTTGCATACATAATAACAAGCAACGAAAGCTAGCAAAGAGGTCACAAACAATTAGACTTTGATTATGTATTGCTTTGCCTCACAATTTATAAAGGCAACAAAACTGAATAAACTGATATTCGAACACTCCAGTCAATTCCAAGGTTCTGTTAGTATTACGCTGTCTTTACCGATTGAGCTAACGATGGGTTGATGAAAGGTTGATTTGTATACTTACTATCACCCTATTAACAACGCTACCGGATTCCATGTACGCATGCGCAGGTTTCATTCGCGAGCTCAAATCTTGGCTGGCTGTGGTACGAAAAAAGAAGACGCACACAGGCCGGCTGGTTGTGCGTATTATTTTAAACCAACACGAAAAAGACCCAAAAAATCCAACCTTGGCATTGGCTGTAATAAAACGTATAAGGCGCTATTTCATTTTTTCAACGGCTGGTTTAAAATTATCGAATATTTGTAGGGCCCCACTAATATAAAAAATGCATGGTTATATTTATGGATCTTTCCGCCGTTTCTGAACCGATTTTGGTCAAACAAAGACGAATTTGTCATTTGAATTCTATGCTCTTTCAAATTTGTCACTCAGTTTTTCATTATCTGCGCCCTCTATGTGCACTTTTTTAAATAGTATGGTATCGCATGTCAGCAGCAAACTATAATTTGAGAACCCCAGACTCTCGGAGACGGAGCATGTTATACTTAATATAGTGTATCGGGGCAAGAAAGTCGTTAAACTCAATTGAGTTGCTCGTGTGCTCTGACTGGTTTCCTTGCTATTTTAAGGCTGTCATGTTTAATAACGGGCATGCCTCATGACATAGGTTGCAAAAAGCATCTGAGATATTTACAGTTTTCCTGAGAAATAGATTTAAATTGAATTTGAATTCAAAAGATATTTATTTTACTAAAACACTTTCGCTACACAAGGGCTAATTCGCGGTAGAATTTACAATTAAAAAACACGTAATAAGTGCACTAATAGCACATTACAACGATCATTAATAATTCATATAAATTCATTACAGTAATTAGGTAATAGCAATGAAATAGAAGAAAATGATCGGATGGTAGATTGAGGGATACAGGAATAACTTGCTGATAGAGGGGATGAGATAGGTGAACAATGATGCAGTAGATAGTAAGGTGCGTTTCTGCTGATGCATTCAATCGGTTCGTGTCTGAGTGGTACTAAGCTCTTTTATTTTATGAATAATTAGAGAGAAGGGTATTATATGAGAACCCGCCCGCGCCGGCGCAGATAATTTTGTATAGCAATTGTGGCTACTGTTAAGGAATAGTCCTGAAGAAAATCTGTCTTAATTTGATCTTTTATAATAAATCAACCGAAACAGTTGCATACGTTCGCAAGAAACATCATTTGCCTGATAAACACCATTATGCGATTGGGATCACGTTTCTTCATCGATACTTTTTCTTTACCTTTGTTCCCCCTTAAAAAAAAACCTTTTCCACTTTTTTTTAAACCTTTCTTGCTCTGTCTCCAGTGCGAAGAATTCATCAATATAGGTGCCATAGCTGTGATATTTGAGGGCCAAAAGGACGTAAGTACTCTCTTTATTTGTTGATACTTTAACCATCGAAGGCCGCCTAGATGAATCAAAGTAGAACATGAATTTCAGAACATTTAAAAGCCTATGGACGTATGAGCCTGCATCTCTCTCTCTCTCTCCCCCCTCTCTCTCTCTCTCCCTCTCCCCCCTCTCTCTCTCTCTCTCTCTCTCTCTCTCCCTTTCTTTTTTCTCCCTCTGCCACTTCATACATTATGAATTACATTTTAATAACAAAATATCTAATGATTGTAAATTTTACTCGGGCAAGAGATTGACCTAGGTCTGCATGGACTCGAATGTATTCAATCGGAATATCCATGGAGTTATCCATGTAAGCCTATGTGTGAGATTAAGAAACCAGTAGATGTTCCGATGTAAAAGTTCAGTTTCTAACTCATTGATTAAATTTCCAATTCAGCGACACCATCATTTCCTTGTTTTAAACCAGGGATACATTTTTTGCAGAGCGAATATTGAAGTAATTCACTTTCAAAATTCATTTCTGCAAAACTATGAGGCAAATGCCAAAATTTGAAACAAACGCTCATTAGTTCATTTTTGTTTACCATAAAGCCTAAAAGCGTCAAAATAGCGGCGCTTTTTTCTTCTTAATATTAATGTTGACGTCAGGAGTAATACGCTCAATAATGTTTGTCTTACACCACAGAGCTCCGTGATTAAGCGCAGGAACTTTCTTTTTTTGCGACGGTTTACCCTCTCGTGTCTAAAGCAGCCTTTAGACATTAGGCCCTATTCACAAAGAAGGTTTGTCGACAAACCTAGGTTTATGTGCGTCATATGACGCGTTTCGACGCGTTTTTTTACAAGCAAACCTGGTTTGTAAAAACGCGTCGAAACGCGTCATATGACGCACATAAACCTAGGTTGTCGACAAACCTCCCATTTGAATTCGGGCCGTAAGTTCCACCGTCACTGCACAAGAAAGACCTCAAATAATACGTTATCACCGAAAAAAGTGGTTATAACTAAATACATTACATTGTAAATTGATTTATATGATATGTTTCCAAACATGTACAACTTTTGTACATCAATGAAGTTTAATAAATACAATACAATACAATACATTTATTGCAGATGCAAGAAACATATAAATCAACTCCCCAAAAAATCATGTTTTTCAGGTTTTAACTGACGTGGAAACAGAACACTTCCAAGAGGTGATCGCCAACATGACCAACAATTATGTTTATCTAGAAGTTTTGTAAGTATATTGCGTCAACTCTATACATTATTATAATAACATTAACGTGACGTATCCAGTAACTAATAAATAAATGGGCAGCATCTCCGGGGAGGGGGCGAAATGTACCTGGGGGTTTTTCATAAAGCTGTTCGTAAAGTTACGTATGACTTTACGAACGACTTGTATATAAAAGCCAAATGGGATGCTCAATCATTATTAACTGCATCAAATAAAGTTGAACTGTGCAGATGTAATTTGATATTCTTATTATAACAAAGATTCTTAGTGCAAAGTATATTTTTTGCCATAATTTAATTGAGGTTATTGGAAATATCAGGAAAATTTTGGGCATTCTATCTGGCACTTCATATATATACAAGTCATCTATAAAGCCATGCGTAACTTTACGAACAGCTTTATGAAACACCCCCCCCCCCCCCCTGGTCTTTTAACCCTAATAAGGCCGGGGGGCATTATGGCCACCCCCCCCCCCCCTCCCCGATTTTTCTGATTGCTCGAGAACGCATATGGATGGCGCCCCGCCACTCGCTGACTTTTTTCTTTTGAGTCTTGCGCAATTTTTAAAAGAATTTTTTTGAAAATTGGACCTACGGTTACAAGGTCACGTGACCTTTTGTATTTGCATGTCAGCCCGAAAATCGCTCATTTTCGTGATTTGTGTACAAAACATATGGAAAAGTCATTTTTCCTAAAAACAGATCAAACATGGGTTATTGGGTCTTGTTTAAAGTTTAGGTGGTTGTTTTGGGTGTCAAAATAGTTGAATTGTAGTAAGAAAAGAAATAAAACAATGAAATACATAAGTTAAAAAAACAATGAAATACATAAGAAATTATTAAAAAAAACAAGGGATAACATATGGAATAAGCTGGCTATTCCAATTTTTTTTTTGTATTATTATTCAGAATGGTCTAATGAATACATGTAGTGAAGAAGAATGCCTAATTATGAATAATATATGATTTATGGGTAAAAATGTGAGTTTTCTGACTTTATTTGCATAAATTACCTTAAATATGCAAATGAGTGAATTTTTCAAAAAATTGAAATTATTATATTATTCTATATATTCTATACATTCTAAATTCTATACTAAATTTTCTATATTTATTTTCGCGGCCGAGATCTTAAGGGGGGCCATAATGCCCCCCCCCCCCCCCCCCGGCCATACTAAGACCTCAAATAGCCTGGCCTTATTAGGGTTAAGGTGATCCTATACAAAGAACAAACGGATAACAGTCGTTTTAGTGCAATCGGACCAAGGCGGGATCCGGCAAAAAGAGGCCAATTCGTAAATTTTAAAGTAAAAACTAAGCAATAGAAAATCCAAATAAAAACTTATGAATGCACTTCAGTTATATACTAGATTGAAAAGCAGACTAACATAAACTATTGAAATGAAGAATCCAAAATTTCGAGGACGGCCATTCACTGATATATTCCGTCAATTTTGATCAATTTTCTCGATTGCATTGATTATGATATTTTTAATTGGGAAGATGGGATCAAAAGATGAGTTCTAAAAATGAAATTTGCAAAGTAACGGGGCGGAAAAAGTCAATTTTTCGATGTGTGCCAAACTTATTTCTAAGGAGTACAGGAGACACGTTTTATTGCGCAAACCATCCATTCATTCATTCTATTCATGTTTATCTTAAAATGATTGAAAGTATTGTCTAAGAACTAGCCTCTTCTTTCGACACTCCATTGTGTTTCGCTGTTGCATGGATGAGTGTGGTTACTTGGTTGTTGTTCCTCCAAAAGATTCCTAGTGGAATTTAAACTGGTTGTGTGTGTCCCTTCTCTCTTTCGTTCTCTCTCTCTCTCTCTCTCTCTCAATATCTTTCTCTCTCTCTCCCTCCCTCCCTCCCCACCCTCTCTCTCTCTCTCTCTCCTGTTATCTTTCATCTCTCTCTCTCTCTCTCTCCCCTTTTCTTTCTCTTTCTCTCATCTTTCTCTTCATCTTTGCTTTTTCTCTCTCTTCACTAATATCATATCGATCCATGTTTTGTTATTGTCGGTTTCCCCCATTAGGCCTGAGCACGTGATCATTGTCCAGCGTATTCGTAACACCGTTACTAATGATAAGGGATTCAACTTCTTCATCCTGAACCCATCTCGATCGGAGTACATGCCGGTAGCTCTCCGCAAACAGGAGCTATACCTCATGATCAAGATCAACAACGAGGATATCAACAACGCCATGGGTGAGGATTGGGTCGTCACTCCCATAGAGCCTGAGTCAACCTATCCACTGGCTATTCCTGCTTGGGCTATAGCTATCATCGGCTATGTGGGCCTGCTCATCTTCATCTACTGCACCATGGTGCTGACCAGTGATTGGCGAAAGTAAGTTTGCAAGCATAAGGTCCCATATAAGGTGCAATTGAGCACAAGTATCACAGTATTAAGCGCAATTTCTAATACGCAGTTCTGGTTGAGTGTAATTGCCACTCTCTAAACAAAGAATATATAGATATGAACTTGTTTCTTTTTGTTCTTTGCTTTTACTCTCACTGCTCTCACTACAAGAAAGTCTTGAAACTGTCGGCTGTCCGCAAGAAATTAGTTTCTGCCCTTTACGGGGGGAAATAGCTCTTCACGAAGATTTACACTCTATCAATGGATAAGAACACTATTTTGAACTTAAATAGCCATTACATTATTTCCCTATCTGTCTTGCCTGTAGTATCATACCATAAATGACAGCAATATTGTCATAGGGCGTTTCTGCCTGCTTCTGCATTCATCATGGACTTTGTTGTACATGTATATGGATTATTTGATGAAATGCTTTCATGCTCCTGATCATAAAAAATCCTGTTTTGTGAATCCATAAGATGAACTTCACAGTGAAATCACAGAACAAGGAATTAATAACCCGCGACACAATAATAGGAACTTTTAGATTCTGCACGACGAGAACGTGAACTGCACTTTTAAGGCAATGTGACGTCCTTTTAAGGCACTGGCAGTGAAGTCACATTGCCTTAAAAGGGCAGTCCACGTTCTTGTCATGCAGAATCTAAAAGTCCCTAATGTCCTATTGGGTACCTTATTCCCCTTCATGTTTCGTTTTATGTTTCATCCTTACAGGCAAAAGGCTGCAGAGTTCGAGGCAAATCTTGAGAAGGAGTACTACGCAAACACCAATGGAGTCTCGGTTGCAGACGAGATCCCCTTGAAGAAGATGGCAGTAGAGCACGACTACCAGGATCTGGTACATGAGACCAAGAAGAACGGAGGACCATCTCAGAAGTCTATAGGGGTCCAAACACCTCGCCACGTGGCTGTCCAGGTAATACAATAAAGGCCTTAATGCCGAGACCTTACCAGGTATAGCAAATGGCCTTTCCGTATGACTGGCCAACTAATGAATGACAAGGTAATTACGCCTTTCCACAAGAATGTCCGTCCAAGGCCTACATGGAATTATAAGAATTCTCTCCCAATCGACTGTCGAATTAAAACTATAGGGTTTCAATATAATGGGTATATGTTTATCGCTGTGGCTGTCCAAGCGAGACAAGAGAGGGGCAATAGAGTACCGAAGCTGTGACGTCATAAAAATCTATTTTTAGAATTTCTCAATTTTGTCTTCATTTTTCGAAGGAGCATCAAAAATAATGTCCAAATGTCGAAAACCAATTGAATATGTTAAGTATTGGCTGAGATATGACCATCTGAATGAATATATTTCCTTTAGGAGCTCCTAATACGTGTATCTGACGTTCCACAATCATGTTCCATGAAAGACCATAGAGGGACAAGGTATTTCGGGTATGAAGAAGTTTTTTTCCATGTGGATTTTCCCATGTATGTCAACAGAGGGGCAAGATCTTCTGTGATTAAACGCCTTTTCATAATCTGTTGTGATCGTGGTGGACATCAAATGCAGTGTGGTCGTAAAAAAGGCCACAGTTGTGGCTCAGACCAAATGCAAGAAACTATCCTTAGGATTCAGACGCTTCGTCTGAGTATGAAGCCAAGAGCAGTTATGGATCAAGACCACTACCTCTTTCGAATGCTCACCTGGGGGATGTTTCACAAAGATCATGAGTTAGAATTTTCTCTAAGTTGGACTTAACAATTATGGAAAGCCGTTAGCATCTATACAAAAAAATTGTAAAAGTTGTTTTAAAAGGCATAAAATTTTGATTCAAATCATTCATGATTTCTTTTATCAAGAAGCTTTCATGGTCTTGATGTGGGATTTATAAAAAGTCTAAAATATTTGAATTTTCACAGTTGAATATATTTTATTTTGATGCTACAAATGGCTCTCCATAATTGTTTAAAGTCCAACCTAGAGTTAAGTTCGACTTTAATAGGATCTTTGTAAAACACCCCCTGGTCGCGAAAGTGTACGAAGAACATCAAAGCAGAGAGAATGCATTGAAAGGACTTCGAAGGGGAATATCAAAGTAGGAGATATACAGGAAACATCAAAGAAAGACAGAAGAATAAAAATAAGAGTACAACAAGAAAATGATAGAGAAGGAGGAGCCGAAAAAAAAACAGGAAACAAAAACGAGAAAAGACCTTACCTTACCACTAATACATTTCATATAATTAAAAAAAGATTAGGAAATACGACAACCGGAAGCATAGAGGTGATTTTCCTGTCACTTTTTCGTATTATTCGTCACATTTATTTACTGTCTAGGTTGACCCAGAGGATGTCGTAGCAAGACGTTCTTCGCCTGCACCCAGTCAGACTAGCACCACCGAAGTCGTGATTGAAAATGGCTATTCGGCGATCGACCACGAGCCCGCATACGACTCTGCTGACGCACCAGACACCGCTCACACCGCTCCCGTGACAACCGAAGGCGACGCCGATAAGGAAGCCGATGATGCAGCGGCGGCTATAGAGGGCGCTGTTAATGAAGGTTATGCGGAAGATGAACCTGAACCTGGCGTTACTCAACCTTCCACAAACCTTTAGCAGTCGATCAATACAAGAGAAAGGTTTCTGGTGTGTAGTGATGGAAACTGACCACGGCACGACTTGACCTGAAGACACTTCTGTATTATTAGCACATTTCCCACTTTTATTAATCACTATGTTTCAGTGGCGTAGACAGGTTCGTACACCTGGGGGGGATGACTCAGGGGCGGATCTAGCTTTTTGCTAAGGAGGGGGGTTGACCAAAATAATGACGATGCGGAGCATCGTCCACGAGCCGCGAAGCGGCGAGCCGATTTTTTTTGGGGTGTTTATTTGAACCCCGTAAGTGATGTTTTCCTGGCATCTATTAACACAATGGAGACCATAAAAAGCAGTGCATGATAACGTCTTTTAAATCAAGTAACAGTTTAATACACAGTTATATCCAGAGTTATCATGTGTTTGGTTAAGTTACCAGATGAGTTGAATATCTTCTCACAATATTTGCACTTGAAAGGGTTTCTCTCCAGCGTGCGTTCTTTTTTCTTTCTTTTTTTCTTTTTTTTTCTTCTTTTTTTTCCCCTTTTTTGTTTGTTTGTTTTTTGGCCACCCAAGCCCCCCCCCCCCCGTAGATTCGCGCCTGTTTAATCTTGTGGTTATCTTGTGGTTTCCAAACCACAAGATAACCACAAAATACTTGTAAGATTTTCTTTTTTTTACCGTCTGAATTGGCTTTCACCGTGTGAATGCGGCTAATAACAATAAACACAATTACAACAATGATGAGGATTATTATTATCATCATCATAATTATTATTATTATTAATATTATATTTGTTATCATTATTATTATTACTAATATTATCATCATTATGACTTATTAAGTAAGCAAATATCTTTCCCCAAAACCTGGGGGGGATGATTGTACATGTCATCCCCCCCACCTTGTGAGGTGGGGGGGATGCATCCCCCTCATCCCCCCCGTTGTCTACGCCCCTGACTACATGACATCAAGCAGCTTGAATACCATAAGGCAAGCTTAATTAATTAGAGTTTCAAGTTAATGTGTTTTCATATGTTTTAACGTTCAATTCTCATTGAAGCCCAGGGAGAAAATCAATACAACAGGATACGGGAATGCTGATAGATATACCCCCTTCCCCGGTTCTTATATATGCTAATAGATGCCCATTTTCCTTCAACTTAATAATTTTGGGTCCGCAAACGCCATTTGCATTTTTAGTTAGGTTAGCAGAATAATGTTGAAATCTCTCAATCGTCTCAACTCACTCTCACTCTCTCTCTCTCTCTCTCTCTCTCTCTCTCTTTCTCTCCCTTAATTATCTCCATCTAATGCGAAGGAAAATCCTTTGATGAGATCATTGTTCTAATACAAAATGAAAAAAAGTGATATTCTCTATGTTAAAGACATGATCCTAACATACAAACTTTGTATAAATTTCGTCCTGTTTTTCTTTTTTAATGGTTGTTGTTTGAAAGTGTGAAATGTGCCAAAATAATTATTGCATTCATTTTGTTTAAATCATTAATTAAATCAGAAGCAGACATAGACCTTTGACAATAAATAACTTGATTACGTCTAACGTAAACAAAAAGAATATGATGCATTACCTGAATATAAAACAACACAATAATATTGCAAGAAAAAGCTCCGTCATCAATGAAAGTAAAACAAAATCCAATAAAGTTTTGGCGGGATGTAAAATAAAATTGGGGTGGCTACCTGAAATTAAAACCCTCGCTGTATACGTTTTGTGATAACTTCCTAATTTCAAAGATGGGCTTACCCATTTTTTTCTTCTAATTTCTATTTCAAGAACTTATTCAGTCTATGTAATATTTCCCCTAGATTCGGTGGGTATATCGATTAAGTGATCCATTCCTGATCATAAACCTTTGGATACCAGACCGATCACCCTGATGCCAAACATAATAGAGTAGTACTCAAAGATTAATGAATAAAAAAATAATGCCCAGCTTTATCAAGAATATACGAATGAGTTCCCTTGAAAGTGATCATTAAAATGCAATAAAAATGAAGCTTAATGATTTAGTCGTTGTGTATTTGTAATCGTGAATAGTTGAGTTGTATAATAGTTCCCGATGTGCAATGTGAATGTTATCAGTTTAAAGGCGCGTTGGAAAGCGTAACCAATCACCCCACCCCTTTTTGTTTTGTTCTTTCTCTCTCTCTCTTTACCTATTTTGTCTTATTTTGTCTTTCTATGCCCGTCTGTCAATCTACTCCTTTCTTTTCACCTTTTCTTTCTTTCTTTCTTTCTCTCTCTCTCTCTTTCTCTCTCTCTCTCACACACACACACACACACACACTTACTCTGAGATACTCCTCTTTAGTTCTCTCACACAGTTTTTCTCCATCTCTCTCCATTATATTTCATTCTCTCTCTCTCTCTCTCTCTCTCTCTCTCTCTCTCTTTACATATTTTATTTTATTTGTCTTTCTCTGCCCGTTTGTCAATCTACTCCTTTTTTCATCTTTTCTTTCTTTCTTTCTTTCTCTCTCTCTCTCTCTCTCTCTCTCTCTCTCTCTCTCTCTCTCTCTCTCTCTCTCCTTTCTCTCTCTCTCTCTTTCTCTCTCTCTCTCTCTCACACACACACACACACACACTTACTCTGAGATAGTCCTCTTTAGTTCTCTCACACAGTTTTTCTCCATCTCCCTCCATTATCTTTCATTATAATTTGATGTCCCTTTTCCCGGCTCTATCGTTTATTTTTCTGAAGAGCTAGAGGTACATAGTAAACATTCAAAACAAAACCATATAGATTAATTTTAGGCCTACCGTGCGACTGATGTCATTTAATTTCATTCATTTCAAAGTGCAGGATATAGATACTTCTTAAACTGTTTAAAAAGGAGTGATGATTTCGTTAGTTTGTAATTGAAATGAAGACGTAGAGCAATATGTTTGCCCAACGACCACAAATTATTCATTCATAAATGGCAACAGAAAATTCGTTTGAAAATGTTTACTTATGATAGCAACGATGAAAGTCGAAATAATGAAAATTAAATGTTTCAATGACATTTATATCCAAATAAGTGCTTTGGAAGTATCATGATGTCTTTTTTTATAGTGTTTTACGTGAACTCGTGTTTATCACGCCTAAAAGATCAACTAAATTTAATTTATAAACAACAGAAATACAGGCAGTTACAATCATTATACAGACATTATGTTTAGTTAATATCTTTGTTTAACCAAAAACCTCCGATCCCGTAAACCATTGCCAACGCGAACCGGTTAGTTCCTGTCACACAGTGGAGTGGAGGGGAATGACAGGATTCAGAAACCATCGCGTAACGTGTAGATCTTGATACCACGGTATATAATGGTTGTTTAATAAGTTGGCTTTCCGTCACACTGGACTTCATGACATTGAGAGTCGTAGAAGATGAAATTGCATCCTCCGCAGTAGTTGGACCTGTAATGGGAAAATAGAATAAAATAGCTAACATTCGGATGTATTATTGATTAGAGGAGAGGAGGTTGAGAATGCAGGTATAATAATGCTGGTCATGAGGTAGTCACGCAGTGAGAATTATGATTGCGTTGTTTATGTTTTAGGTTGCTATATAATGAGGCCATACGGCTGTAATTTAAAGCGTTATGTGTACCCCTTTTTGCTCTTTCGGTTATCTTCTTCTTCTTCTTCTTCTTCTTCTTCTTCTTCTTCTTCTTCTTCTTCTTCTTCTTCTTCTTCTTCTTCTTCTTCTTCTTCTTCTCCTTCTTCTTCTTCTTCTTCTTCTTCTTCTTCTTCTTCGTATCCTTCTTCTTCTTCTACTTTTTCTTCCTCTTCTTCTTTTTTTCTTCTTCCTCTTCTTCTTCTTCTTCTTTTTCTTCTTCTTCTTCTTCTTCTTCTTCTTCTTCTTCTTCGTATCCTTCTTCGTATCCTTCTTCTTCTTCTTCTTCTACTACTTCTTCTTCTTCTACTTCTTCTTCTTCTTCTTCTTCTTCTTCTTCTTCTTCTTCTTCTTCTTCTTCTTCTTCTTCTTCTTCTTCGTATTCTTCTTCTCCCTCTTCTTCTTCTTCTTCTTCTTCTCCTTCTTCTCCTTCTTCTTCTTCTTCTTCTTCGTATCTTTCTTCTTTCTTCTTCTTCTTCTTCTTCTTCTTCTTCTTCTTCTTCTTCTTCTTCTTCGTATCCTTCTTCTTCTTCTTCTTCTTCTTCTTCTTCTTCTTCTCCTCCTTCTTCTTCTTCTTCTTCTTCTTCTTCTTCTTCTTCTTTCGTATCCTTCTCCTTCTCCTTTTCCTTCTCTTTCTCATTCCTGTTCTTGTTCGTCTTCTTAAAAGGTGAAATCCATGATCAATTAAATAAGAGAGAATCTTCTATTTATATACTTATCAGTAGCCCTAAATTTGCTCCCCCCCCCCCCCCTCATTTGTTTCAAGCAATTCGCACTATGTAGACACACCTCCTCCATGTGCTCGACCCTATCCTAGCGAGTTCTACAGGATATAAGGCTCATATCCGGACACCTACTCCCTGGATATCCACCCCCGGATAACCAGCCCAGTCAACTACCCCTGGGGGTAGTCGTCCTAGAGGCTGTTCACACCGCCATGAGATAGCGCGGTCTATCGTTGCACCCCCTTTTTTCTAGCGCGCGCTAGACCGCGCTATCTCTCGTGGACCACCCCCAAGAGGTGCTCCAGTGGCACGCCGTTTTGGCTCGCCGTGGCTCGCTGTTGGGCGGACCGAAACGACGTTGTAACTCCCAACCGCAGAGATAGCGCGGTCTAGCGCGCTATCTCTGCCGGTGTGAACAGCCTCCTAGAGGGTGCATGGTTGCTATAGGGGGCAGCTGTCCTAGGGGGTAGTTGACTGGGGGTGGTTATCCGGGGGGTTGATGTCCAGGGGGTGGGTGTCGATCCTAGAACCTATAAGGCTATGACTTACATGCATCGAGCATTAGGAGAGGCTCCGCAAGTCGCCAACAGACATGGATCCACAAAGCAATTGACCACATCACAGGACGGGCAATCACCAGGTGAAATACACTGACCATTGTGACGTAACAATCCTTCATTGCAGAAACACCCAGCGATTGGTGGTCCGCCGGGGCGATAGGGCGGTTTCGGATAACCAGGACACTGAGACTCCTCGTAGTCACACGGATGACGAAATACAGAATAGGTCTCGTCTTGTTTGCAGTTCTCTGCCTCTGGAAAGACAAACAAAAAGCACACCAGGTTAAATTATAGGTTAAAGTGACATGTGGCATGACCATGACTGAATGGACAGTGACATCACGGGATAGAGATTAACATATTCGTCTACACCATTAAAAAAGTTGTCCTTGTGAGTATCAGACAAACTAACATCTAAATGCGGGACATCATAATGGACCGACACCCAAAACAAGGATTTGTGCCTGCCACCGACTATACTAATAGTGGTAGCTGTGTAGTAGTACTAGTATAAATAGTAGTAATGTGTAGTAGCAGTGGTGGTGATGGTGGTGGCAATGGTGGTGGTTATGGTGGTGGCTATGGTGGTAAGTGGTAGTAGTAGTAGTTCAAGATATAGTATTAGAAGTAGTAGTAAAACTAGATGGAACTTCGACTGCGCGCAGTCGAAAGTGATGCCTCCGTCATAGAGCAATTTTACAAACCAAAACGGAAGAAATATTTCAAATTTAAGTTCGGTTGTAATCCATAACAGGTTCTCAGAATATGATTATACAAGCTATTTCTCATATACATGTATGACCCTTTGATCTTTGAACTCATGACCTCAAATGCAAAATACATATATATATATATATATATATGCATGTCTTGAGTTTGATGGTAATCCATCCATCGGTTCTAATGATAATGCAATCACAAGCTATTTTTGCATACATAATGAGCTCCATGACCTTTGACCTTGTGACCCCAAAATTTAATCAGTTCATTGGCTCTGCAAGTTACATACATGACCAAAGTTTGGTAGGAATCCATCAGTTAGTTCTTGAGATAACATGATCACAAGCTTTTTTTGCATACATATTGAGCCCCGTGACCTTTGACCTCGTGACCCCAAAATCTAATCAGTTCATAGGCTCGGCAAGTTACATACATGACCAAAGTTTGGTAGGAATCCATCAGTCGGTTCTTGAGATAACGCGATCACAAGCTATTTTTGCATACATAATGAGCCTGTGACCTTTGACCTTTGACCTCGTGACCCCAAAATCTAATCAGTTCATTGGCTTTGCAAGTTACATACATGACCAAAGTTTGGTAGGAATCCATCAGTTGGTTCTTGAGATAACGCGATCACAAGCTATTTTTGCATACATAATGAGCCCTGTGACCTTTGACCTTTGACCTTGTGACCCCAAAATCTAGTCAGTTCATTGGCTCTGCAAGTTACATACATGACCAAAGTTTGGTAGGAATCCATCGGTCGGTTCTTGAGATAACGCGATCACGAGAACGGGACGTACGTACGTACAGACAGACGTACGGACGGACGGACAACCCGAAAACATAACGGAGGCATAATAATGGTGTTGTAGTCTAGTGGATACATCGTCAGACTGACGGTCACAGGGTTCACGGTTCGACTTCCGACGCTGCACTAATGTCCTTTGGCAAGACATAAGTCTACATTTTCCACTTGTATGGGTACCGGCATGAAGGAAATCCTTGAATGTGTGAGCACTGATTCGGCAGCCTAGTAGAGCCGGGGTAATAATATAGAAGCGCCTTGAGGACCTAACGAGGTGGCGTGGTGGATATATGCGCAATGCAAATATTAAATATTATATACCCCTTTTTTTAGAAATCTAGCCATCTGATTGGTCGACAATTGAGTCGTGATTTTAGCCATTCCCATAAAGAAACGAACAATGCCAGTGACGGTCAATTGTTCATGAGTGAGATTCGCTAAAGATTCTGGGTACGGGAAAATAATAGATTTCGATGAGATCCCCATTGGTTTACGTGTTACCATTTTCTTTGTGTGAGCGCGGACACCACCATACAGTGCTCTTTGTCTGCGATTCCCAAACGATTCAATCATCTTTCCAGCGAAGATTAATAGACAGTTCCCAGATTTTCCCTGATGTTTTAACCAATCTTTAATCAAGAAAAAGATGAATAAGAATTCTTGGTAGATTTTTGTGTCAATTCGGTAAATAACAAACATATCGACTGCTTTAATATTCGAGGCCTGGCTGTTGGTTCTCGGGGACGTGCACATCCTGCCATGACCCCGATGTGCGCCTGGACAGCCAGACCCCTCAAAGCAGTCAATATATCTATATTGTTGTTTTCATCTAGATATTGTTATGTTAAATTAAAGTGAAACCTGGTTATAACAAACTCCTTGGAACCAGTGAAATTACCTTGTTTTATAACTTTCTTATTTTAATAATAATAATAATTATTAGTTATATTAAATTAAAGTGGAACCCGGTTATAACAAACTCCTTGGAACCAGGGAAATTACCTTGTTTTATAAGTTTCTTATAAAAGTGTTCTTTATAATGAGGTTCCACTCTCAGGCGCGGATCCAGGGGGGGGGCCGAGCGTGCCTTGCCCCCCCCCCCCCCCCGCAAAAAAAAAAGAGAGAGAGAGAAGAAAGGAAAAGAAGGGAAAGGGAAAGAGGAGAGAAAGGGAAAGAGAGAAGAGGAAGAAGAAAAGAAAAGGGGGAAGAAAAAGATCGGGGGGCCGAAAGGGCCTTGCCTCCCAGGCTGTTGCCCCCCCCCCCCCAATCACAAAAATAAGAGAGAAGGAAGGAAAGGGAAAGAAAAAAGAAAAAGGGGAGATACTGGCGAACTGATAGGGGGTAGGGGGCTTGTGGGAAATCAAATTTAAACGTGGTTTATTTCTAATTCCATAACGGTAGATTACAAATAATGCTGAAATGACATAATTTCAGAGATTTTTCCTCACCTTTAAGTAAATTATACGTTATACGTAGGCAAGAAATGTGATTCTTGAGATTCCTACATGTCAGGGCCCGAGGAACGGCGGGGATTGAGAGCCTCGAGCCCCCCCCCCCCCCACACTTTTTTTGAAAAGGTATATTAAAGAAAAATAAAAAGAAAGAGAGCGGTAGGGGAAAAACTGAATTCAGACGAGGATTATTATTATAACAGTATAATGGATCGTCTTCTTTCTCTAATGATTTTAATAAAACCTTAAAGCTTCCGCGCTTCGCGCGGGAGGGGGGGAAACTAAATTCAGACGAGAATTATTTTCGAGAACGGTACAACGAATCGTCTTCTTTCTCTAATGATTTAAATGAAACTTAAAGCTTCCGCGCTTCGCGCTGGAGGGGGGAACGAATTTAGACAAGGATTAAGAGTCGAGAGCGGTGCAACAAATCGTCTTCTTTCTCTAATGATTTATTGAAACTTAAAAGCTTCCAAGCTTCGCGCGGGAGGAGGGAGCCTGAATTCAGACGAGGATTAAGAGTCGAGAACTCTACAGCGAATCGTCTTGTTTCTCTAATGATTTAATGAAACGTTAAAGCTTCCGCGCTTCGCGCAGGAGAGGAGAGGGGAACTGAATTCAGACAAGGATTAAGAGTCGAGAACGGTACAGCGAATAATCTTCTTTCTCTCATAATCTTATGAAACGTCAAAAATTCCGTGCGGTAGGGGAAAAACTGAATTCAGACTAGGATTCAGAGTCGAGAAAGGTAATACGAATCGTCTTGTTTCTCTAATGATTTAATGAAATGTAAAAGCTTCCGCGCTTCGCGCGGGAGTGGGGGAGGGGGGGAACTAAATTCAGACGAGGATTATTTTCGAGAACGGTACAACGAATCGTCTTCTTTCTCTAATGCTTTTAATGAAAATTAAAAGCTTCAGCGCTTCGCGCGGGAGGGGGGGGCTGAATATAGACGAGGATTTAGAGTCGAGAACTGTACGACAAATCGTCGTTTTTCTCTAATGGTTTAATGAATTGCAAAAGCTTCCGCGCTTTGCGCGGGAGGGGGGGGGGAACCTGAATTCAGACGAGGATTTAAATCGAGAACTGTACGACGAATCGTCTTTTTTCTCTAATGGTTTAATGAATCGTAAAAGCTCCCGCACTTTGCGCGGGCGGGGAAAAACTGAATTTAGACGAGGATTATTTTCGAAAACGGTACAACGAAACGTCTTCTTTCTCTAATAATTCAATGAAACGTCAAGAGGGAGGGGGGACTCGCCCCTCCCTGCACCCACCCCCCTCCCCGCATTACGTCACTGCTGGTCAATATTACGTACCAATATTTGGCTCGCATAATTTCAAATTTGGGCCCCCCCCCCCCTAAGAAATCCTGGATCCGCGCCTGTCCACTCTAATCATAAATCATTGACCTAATTGATCTAAACAATTTTATAATATAAAATATTAAAATAGTGATTACGTGGACAGTTGCTTAGAAGGATACAGTCACCGTTTGGTCCTCTGACGTAACCGTTATCGTTGTCGCAGAGACACAGTGATAGGCACAGATTTGCACAGCGAACCTGTGGAACGCCCTCACATGTTGCTTCTCCGCAATGAGAACTGCATACCCTATACACTTCTCCTTCGTTGGTACATTGGCCAGGAGCTACAATAAGGGAGAAAAACGGCATTTTAAGGTTATGTTATGTCATTTTGTTTAAATCAATAATATTCACATCCATCGAGAATACAGTCAAAGCTATCTATTGAACGCCACCCAAGGAAACAACAAAACGAGACAACTGTAGACAGGTGGTCTTTCTAGCGCAGTTTTTCAACACATATAAGGGACTTTTAGATTTGCACGTCGACATAGTGGACTGCTACGTGTGACGTAACATTGCCTTAAAAGGACGTCACACAATCTAAAAGTCCCTAAAAGTCCACAACTAGGCGTTGTGGCGTTCGCCTGTAATCCAGCTAACAGTGGAAGTTACCAACTGACTTCAGCCGAGGACGCAGGTTCGAAACTGAGTCACGTCTTTCGGATGGTGACGTTAAAAGTCGGTCCCCAGACGTAAATAATCATATCTGATTGATACACGTCTGTAAATACCCAAATACATACACACACATTGTGACACACACATAAAAGTCCCTATTTTCCAGTAGAGGGAGGCAATAGAGAGGTGGCCACTAAGGCATGTTTTACTGTATGTGTTCATGGTGTAGGATGAATCAGATGTTATAGGATGAACAAAAGTTGAGGAATACACAAAGCATTAATAAATGTAAATATATGAAGAATGGTTACTCTTCATAACAGTAATAAACCCAATAAATGTGAGCTGAAGTTCGAGCAGGCTTGTATTATTTTCGGTACACAATAAACTACTTACGTGGACATCGCTCTTCTTGAATACATCGATTGCTCTGATCGCGGATGAATCCATTGGCGCTGTCACAGAAGCATCCAGGTTGACACCTCTTAATGCAGACTCCTTTTCCTCTATCTCTCTCGTCACACGAAGGCTCACCACAAGGCGAGCCACAGTCATTGAAGAACTCGCCTTCACCATCACATCTTGCTAAGGAAGCCGATCCAATAAAGGAACGAAAAGTTTCAGAAAGAAGAGAAGGATGAGAATGAAACAAAATATATAATCAGGAATTGACCCTGATAGCAGACTGACGTCTTAAAGACGTCATAAATTGGTCGTAAAGTGGTAAACACGTCGTACGTCGTATGGACGACGTGATTACGACGTCATTATGACGTCTTTAAAGGACTAATTTTTTAAAGATATTTTTTGTCGTATTAACGACGTCATAAAGACGTCATTTTGACGTCTTTAAAAGACTATTTTTTCCAAGCTAATTTTTGTCGTATTAACGACGTCATAAAGACGTCATTTTGACGTCTTTAAAAGACTATTTTTTCCAAGCTAATTTTTGTCGTATTGACGACGTGCTAACGACGTCATTATGACGTCTTTAAAAGACTAATTCTTCCAATGTAATGTTGTCGTATTGACGACGTGATAACGACGTCATTATGACGTCTTTAAAATACTAATTTTTCCAAGCTAATTGTTGTCGTATCGACGACGTCATTATGACGTCTTTAAAAGACTAATTTTTCTAATGTAATGCTGTCGTATTGACGACGTGATAACGACGTCATTATGACGTCTTTACAAGATTATTTTTTCCAAGCTAATTTTTGTCGTATCGACGACGTCATTATGACGTCTTTAAAAGACCAATTTTGTCCAATGTAATGTTGTCGTATTAACGACGTGATAACGACGTCATTATGACGTCTTTAAAATACTATTTTTTCCAAGATAATTGTTGTCGTATTGACGACGTCATTACGACGTCTTTAAAAGACTAATTTTCCAATATATTTTTTGTCGTATTGACGACGTCATTACGACGTCATTATGACCTTTTTTAAAGACTATTTTTCCAAGATATTTTTTGTCGTAAGAACGACGTTATAACGACGTCATTATGACGTCTCTAATAACTTAATTTTGTCCAAGATAATAATCGGGTAAAGACTACAACATCTAATATGAGCATAAGTCAAAGTAAATAGGGCAATTATCAGAATTGAAAATAGGGAACAACTCCCCCCCCCCCCCCCCCTCAAATGTCATTAGTCATTATATAATAGTGGACCAATTTACAGATTGTGCACCAAGGTCTGCAATACCGATCAAGACTATACATGCTCGCATCTAGTTTCATGCTATTTCAAACGGGAGTGTGTACGTCTTTGAGTGTGTACGTACGTGTGCAGGTACATACAGTATACTCAAGGCAAGGACTACACTAGCCAGCACTGCACTAGCACTATGCGTGCGCGCGCGCGATGTGTATATTTGAATTCAGAGTGAAAAACCCGTTGCATATCATCCTCCTGAATACTCTCGTTTTCTCCTGCAAATTTACAGTATGGGTAAGTCCTAGAATTACCTAATTTATTTACAAAAAGTACATAAATCTATAGTTACTGTTTTTCTTTCTGAAAAGTTGATATGTAGACTCTATGTTACTGTAATGATCTTATGTCAGTGATAGTGAGCTCGGACTTTCAACACTTGCTGACAAGATTTGAAATGTATGATCCCATATACGTATTTTTATGTAGGGTCTTGATTGATGGGATGCATGGCATGGGGCATCATTTAAAGCAAAAAAGTTTACTCATTTGCCTACACATGGGCTGCATGGCTTTAAAGGGAAATCTAACTCGAATATACAACTGCTCTAAAACTAAAAGAAAGCAGAAAAATAAGAGAAGCAAACTGATGAAAGTTTTGGCACTAGAGTAGATAGTAGATCTAAGTTAGACCCGGCCCTAGTACTGCTATATCACACCAAAGACGGATAATACATGCAGTCACGCGTGACACAGTGTGAGAGTGTCTACTTTATTTCAAGCAATACTGTAGATCTACTACTAGTTCAGAATATTATCCAGACTTTTTGACCAGTGACCCATAACTCTGGAGTGGAGAGAGTCCTAAAAATCTAAAACTTCTACTACATCTAGGCCTACCCCAAATCAAGCAAATATTCATGAAATGTTCAAATAACGCTGGTCATGATTTGAAAGTCGTTATGTTTCTAACCTGTTTCTGGTTTTTTTATTTTGGGGGGAGTATTTTTCGGAAAAACGTTGATAGTAGTATACACTTTCTCACAGGTTGCACGGCAAACCGCTGCACAATACAAGTGCATACAGATGGAGAGTTGCGGGGGCACGTAAGTCTGTGTGAAGTGATCTACCTCCTCATTGTACGGTAGATAACTTCACACAGGCGTGCGCCCGCCCGCAACCACCATCGGTATGCACTTGTAATGTGCAGCAGTTTGCAGTGAAACCTGTGAGAAAGTGTACTACCGGCCCGGGCCCAGATGTCTGGAAATTGAGCATTGCGTGTCGATATGTAGAGGAATAAAACAGTGACTTGTGTCACAAACATGTAACCTTAAAAAGTCGTTTCTATAGTTTTTAGACAGCAAATTTATCTTATAGGCTACCGTATACAGAAATCTTTATCCGGAAATAATTGCTTAGACCTGTAAATGGTAAACAAAATTCTTTCCCCACAGGCTGTTCAAAGAAGTTTGTAGTATATGTGTTGCACATGCATACATTATCAACCATTCGTTTTGTTTTAACTTTATTCATTTTCTCATTTGTAGGCATCCTTTTTTAACATCTTTCGTCAAAGAAGTGGATTCAAAGCACATTGTGACCTCAGTATTATTGATGTGCAACCATGCAGAAAATGCTACTTTCTCTCAACCTTGTGGATGTTCCCTAAGGATCAGCAGCCTCTTGAAACAGTTGAAGCCATTATCGGTAAATGTGTACATGTACTTCATATTATTTCTGTACATTTATTTGTCATATTGTGCATGATCACTGAGACACTGACTTATTAGACACTACAGAATGGTTCATTTCATTTGAAAGGCTTATTTCAGTTATTTGTCCTAAGTTTCAAATATATTTATAATTCAATTAATTTTAGATCACTAAAACCTGCTGGTATGTTGCAATAACCGACAATATTATGTGAGTTTCAAACAGTGTTTTGTTACCCTTCAGCATAGGTCAAGGAGCTTTCATTCTACCCTCATCAGCAAACTACAGGAATGCCAGTTTTCAGGCAATAGCCTGAATTCAGGCCCTGGCAAGTTTTCATACCATAGTTTAGGTTTTTTGTGTACAAGCTAGCTCATTCTAGGTCATTTTTCAGGCCCTCTGATCAATTCTAACTGGCATCCCTGAAACTAGAATTGTATTGATAATTTACCAAACAAAATCCTGAATCACGTTTTGCATTGCCCACAAATGTTTAAAATCCAAAGGTGTGTTGACTTTATGTTTGTGAGCAATAAGAAATTATTTCTGATAAATCTTACCAAGCAGTACTTTTCTGACAGAATTCATTATTTAATTCATTGTTTACGTTCCAGTTTTAAAATATATGAAAGTTTTTCTTAAATTGTATTCCTTTCTTTTTGCTTTATTCATGCATTAGAATTCCTTGCGTCTATGTTCCTTGGATCTGAAAGCAGTGCATAATGCAGGAGATTCCACCCAAAAGCTAACCCACAAGTCCAAGCTGAAGTGGAATATTTCGAAAAATTTAGCTTTACTGCTAGAGAAAGGTTATTTTTTTCACTTCATCATAGAGAGAGATTGGGGGAGGGGTGAGGTGTAACCACAAACCTGAATGGCTAAGCTGTAGAACTGAAATTCCCATTCATGTCACTTGCAATTTTAATGAATTACAGGATTTACAAACTGACATAACGATTTGGGTAAAAGTCTAAAAGATTCCAGTATTTTCCGTATATTTGTAATTACTATTTATGAAGTTGACCTGTTTCATAATGCTTATATAGTAGACTTGATATGCTCAGTCTCATGCTCACCCCCCCCCCCCACCCCATCTGCTTCATATCAGTTCTTAAAACCTGTTGCAAATTATACATTGTAAGTTGGTAATAGAGAAAAATTGAGTGAGGTAAATGCAATACAAATCGATTCCATTATTAAGCAATTAAGACTTGTTCAGGTACAGCACGTGAACCTCCAACAAATTTCAAAAATGATGCTCTTTTTAATAATATACACTATGTAAAGCATATTGAACTCTATGTCAACATTAAAAAAACTGCGATTTTGACTGTTTTGCAGCATCATATCTGAGCGACCCTTAAAGGGACTTGGCAACATTGTTCAGATGAGAGAAAATGGTGCTAAGGTATTGACTTCAATGCTATATGTACACTTAAAGATAATCTGAAAGTTTGAGTGAAAAAAACCATTATTGATGATAAAAATTGGGAACAACTGATCTGATCCATTCCTTAATTCTCTTAACTATATTATTATAATTGGCCTGTTTTATATCTTATTTTCATGGAAAAACAGTTGGGGAAAATTCAAAAATTTGTTGGGAGAATGAAGTGTTAAAGAGTGACACACAGTGGCGCCTTCAAAGAAAACCATAAATATCTTTGTGGTTTGAGAATTTTTTGGTAGTTAAAAGTCTAAAATTCTTGGATTGTATCTGTGATTTTGAGAGCACTATATGGCTTACCTATATTGAATTCGCTGTTAAAATTATAAGTTAAAATTATTTTTTTGTGAAACTCCCCCCAGGAGTTTCAAACGTGCCAAATGAATGTTGTGACAATTAGCAATGGAATATATCTCTTTGTGCTAAAAATTTTCAGCATGTTTGCTATTTTATCTTAAACTTGGAAATATCTTCTGAATAATTATTGCACAGTCACCTTGGAATTGCCCAACAGAGCCACTCGTACTGGCGGGAATGTTATCTGATAGAAATTGTATTTTTATACTTGAACTTATTTTGCAACAAAATGTTTTTTGATGATACCTATATTTATAAAATATGAATGTTGCCACTAATGCCTTTTCTTGTATTTAAGTCATGTGCCAGTAAGAAGCAGGTTTCTAGCACAGAGAATAGGTACAGTTGAGCTGATTTCTGCACAGTTTTCAAATATGCTGTATCGCCAAATGTGAACATCGTGGTTTCAACGGGCAAGCAACCATCATCAGAAAACTCTGCAGGTATCAGTGAAGCTGTCCCTGTTCCCCTTGCTGCCAACTTGTTCCTTTTGAGTGTAAGAAATAACTTAGCTAAGCCATGTGTTTATCATTTGTGCCATTTTTCTCTTGTGTGTGATTTAGATTGTATAGTTTTATACTTTATACTGAATTCTTGCCATAAACTTAGATATTCCCCTTTTATTTAACAAGTATTGATCTTTCATGCTCAGGAATTGTTTCCAACAACCTTTGTTTTATGTAATAGTCTTTATCTGCATTAAAGTCTTGGGGTTGTGAGGAGCAGTGTTGCAGCATGGAGACGAGGTAGAGCTGCACTGATGAATGCCCAGCTTTCCACTGTGCTGTTTTGCTGAATATGAGGAACTTCCCAAGTCTGCTGTTTTCTTGTCTACTAAACAACTGCGGGTATCAGTGTAGCTTTACCTAGTCTCTATGCTGCTAACCTGCTTCACACAACCGCAAGACGTATAAGTTACCAGGTAAGCCAATATATGTCATAGTTTCTTGTAACTGAATTAAATTTGAAATGAAGTAGCACAATTTATAACAAAACAAATATCTTTGTGATGGCCTGTTAACTTTCTTAAAATCAATTATGAGACTGACAGAAATACACTAGGTATTTATACAGCATGTTTTGGAAGAAGTGTCAGGATGGTGATGGAAAGATTCTGTATGTATAGAAGACAAGTTAAATAGAAGAAGGTATAAAAATAAATATTCTATATTTTTATTATCCATTTTGATACCATATACATGTACATTAAAAATATGAAAATTACTTTCTGTCTGGCATGTGTATATATTATGTGATGCAATATTAGTTGCTCTATTTTTATTGTGTGAATGTTCAGAATGTATTCATGAAGTGACTTTTACACTTTCTTCCTTGATCAGGTGGTCATATAGATGTCATTTAGAGGACAAAGAAGACGTAAAGATCATGAAGGGATAAAAGGTACATCGAAATGACCAGTAAGATGTAAATATCACGTCAAAATTTGATGTCCATACAACGTATACACCTACAGACGTCTTTCTTGGGTAAAAGTTGACGTCTTAAAGATGTCTTTCTTTGACTAATAAGACGTTAAAATCACGACAAAATATGACGTCCCTACGATGTCTTCCTGTAGTACAAGGTGACGTCTTAAAGACGTCTTTCTTTGACTAAAAGATGTAAATATGACGTTCATACGACGTCTTTCTATGGCACAAGTTGACGTCTTAAAGACGTCTTTCTTTAACTAATAAGACGTAAACATCACGTCAAAATATGACGTCCTCATGACGACGTACGCGGGTGCAAAATCATGTCTTTTTGACGTCGTGTTATGTCGTCTTAAAGACGTCTTTTTTTAACTAAAAGACGTAAATATGACGTTCATACGACGTCTTTCTATGGCACAAGTTGACGTCTTAAAGACGTCTTTCTTTGACTAATAAGACGTAAAAATCACGTCAAAATATGACGTCCTCATGACGACGTACGCGGGTGCAAAATCATGTCTTTTTGACGTCGTGTTATGTCGTCTTAAAGACGTCTTTTTTTAACTAAAAGACGTAAATATGACGTTCATACGACGTCTTTCTATGGCACAAGTTGACGTCTTAAAGACGTCTTTCTTTGACTAATAAGACGTAAAAATCACGTCAAAATATGACGTCCTCATGACGACGTACGCGGGTGCAAAATCATGTCTTTTTGACGTCGTGTTATGTCGTCTTAAAGACGTAGTGCAAGACGTAAATATGACGTGATATTTACCAGTCTCTGCTATCAGGGGAAGATGTACTAAAAGAATAAGAAGGTTAATTGGAGATTCATACAATACCTACAATTTACTGAGGTTTTCATCTTTTATAGTAAGGTGATAAAGGAATTTAACCAAATTTGAATAATACACAAAGCATAAATGAAAATATATGAAGAATGGTAATAAACCCACTAATAATTATGTGAGCGAATGTTCGAGCAGGCCTATACAGGCACGTAGCCAGAGTTTGGTGTTTAGGGGGGGGGGGGGGAGGGACATACATGTAATCGATCGAGGTAAAAAAAAGGGGTCTAAAAAAGGTTCAATCGATCTTTTATATTTAAGGGGGCACGTGCCCCCCCCCCCCCCCCCCCCCCCAAGGCTACATGCCTGGGACTATATTAGTTTGGTACACAATGAACTACTTACGTGGTGGACATTCATTTTCTTGAATACATCGATTGTTCTCATCGCGGATGAATCCATTGGCGCGGTCACAGAAGCATCCAGGTTGACAAACCGTAATGCAGATTAATTGTACTCCCCCGTTTCTCTCGTCACACGAAGGCTCCACACCACAAGCTGAACCACATGCATTGAAGAACTCGCCTTCACCATCACATCTTGCTAAGGAAGCCGATCCAATAAAGGAACGAAAAGTTTCAGAAAGAAGAGAAGGATGAGAATGAAAAAAATATATAATCAGGAATTGAAGATGTACTAAAAGTTAAGAAGGTTAATTGGAGATGCATACAATACCTACAATTTACTGAGGTTTTTATTTAACACTTGTTGGATGGAATATCCTTATCAGCACAAGTGCTGTTTATTATAGGGGTCCACGGTTAAAATTCGATATTCGACTCACTATCATTAGTAAGGTTATAAAGGATTTTTTTAAAGCCTAATATTCACACCCATCAAGAATATAGTCAAAGCTATCTATTAACGCCACCCAAGGAAACAACGAAACGAGACAACTGTACTAACATGTGGCCGTTCTAGCAAAGTTTTTCAACACATATAAGAGACTTTTAGATTTGCACGTCGACATAGTTGATTGCTACGTGTGGCGTAACATTGCCTTAAAAAGGACGTCACACGTAGCAGTCAACTATGTCGACGTGCAAATCTAAAAGTCCCTATTTCCTTCTAGAGGGAGGCAATAGAGAGGTGGCCACTAAGGCATGTTTTACTGTATGTGTTCATGGTGTAGGATGAATCAGATGTTATAGGGTGAACAAAAATTGAGCATTAATAAATGTAAATATATGAAGAATGGTTACTCTTCATAACAATAATAAACCCAATAAATGTGAGCTGAAGTTCGAGCAGGCATATATTATTATCGGTACACAATGAACTACTTACGTGGTGGACATTCATTTTCCTGAATACATCGATTGTTCTCATCGCGGATGAATCCATTGGCGCTGTCACAGAAGCATCCAGGTTGACAACTCTCTATGCATTCTCCTTTTCCTCTGTCTCTCTCGTCACATGAAGGCTCACCACAAGGCGAGCCACAGTCATTGAAGAACTCGCCTTCACCCTCACAACTTTCTAAGAAAGCCGGACCAATACAGAAGGGTAAAGTTTTAGAGAGAAGAAGAGGATGAGGATGGGGAAAATGGGAAATGAAGACTTATTACATGTTTAGAAGGTTAATGGGCAGGGGCGTCGATTTGTATCCGTGGATGGGGGGATGATAGGTGCCAAGATATTTTCGGCAATGGATCAAGGCAACCGAGAGGTAGAAGCGTGTGGCAGGCTGCACCCCCTCCCTTCCAAGTTATCAACTTTTTCAAGTCACCCTCAATAAAGATAACATTTCAGAGAATATAAGAGTAGTAATAAAATTAATAACATGCTAAATGTTAGTCCTGACTCTTGCCTGCAGTGTAGGCCTACCAGACTGATATCATCTATTTTTTAAACGAAATTTAGACATTACCACAAACAAATCCAATGGTGAGGGATATCAACTTGTGAAAGTATTATGTTACCAGTAGGCAAATGCATTAATAAGCAACCAGGAAAGGTTCATGTAGACGGAAAATTCTTTATTTCCTGGTGAAATGAATATTGATGTCTCCAAGCAACATTCATCGTAAAAAACCCATTCCAATATTCTGTGTAAGGAGTAAATGAAAAACATATTGCTTTTGGTTCTTCATTTGACTCTATCTTCCTTCTTTAATCAAACCAACTGAATCCTCTCTGCGGGAAACTCAATTTAATGAAAAAGAATATCACCGATGCCAAATTTGGTTCTAAAAATGACAGAAAATGTCCACTCCTGATCTCATACAAACTGTCTGTTTCTTAAAAGTATAATATAAAACTTACGTTCCAACTACCAAACAACAAACTTCCATTAACTCCTTCTTCACCCAGATATACTTATCATACCAGATACGCTCTAAAATATAAGCATAACATTCCCCTAAGGCCCTGACCAGAGCACTATTTTTCCCCCCAAAACACCTTAACTATCTTATGCCTGTTACGTTTGAATACAATACATATGCCTACATCAGCTTTTCAATAAAACAAAAATAAGTTGTGACATAACAATCTTTCTCCAAAATATCGAACTGGAGTATTCTGTTGTATTGCTTGTTTATGTACTTGCAAAGAACTTATTTTCAAGAGGCACTAGATCCATGTGTGTTACTTAAAGGTACTATGTCCCTTTTGCAGCCAACCTCAAATGCTGTAGAACTTTGCAGGAATTATGAATATGTCATGTATGTCCTATCTGTGAAATTTAAACGTAAGCAGTGTCCTCATATTCAAATTATGCAAGGAAAACCGTTTACTTGCTAGACTTCACTGTCAGACACTATTGAGTGACTGACTGGCTTTTTTCTTCTTTGGTAATACCATACATGAAAAGAGTTGTAAAGGGTACATGAGTATTTGTCTACATCAATAACCCACTTCTTGTGATGGCCAAGATTAAACTGATTGAATCTTTGCGCAGCATAAAACGTATGACCATTCGGTACAATTGTCTGAAAATCAAGACTATTACTTTTGGGCTCTATAGCCCTAAAGTCGATTTGACAATTAATAGTCATTATTTTCCCACTTGAAGGCATTTTCAAGCCCCACCTTTTTTAGGGAAGTTCTAAGTTAGTATTATCTTTCAAATGCAGTTGGAATATAACTTTTTAATTTTTGGGGCCTGCAAATGGGACATAGTACCTTTAAGATAGCACTCTTTGTTTACCCAGTTTTGTTCAGGTGTCGGGTATTAAAAGATGCATGTGTTCATAATTTCTCTCGTAATTTAGGTTAATAATTTTGTTCAAGGTAAATAGAGAAAAATGTATCTCCGTTTGCTATCAAAATATTTTGCTCCTTTCGGAAAATAGCTCTTCAAATGTTTTACATGTAAAGATATAAATAAACAGAAAAATGGATGAAATCAATAAAACAAAATAGATACTGAGTATGAATCAGAGAACAAACTACATGCTGCCATTTGGACAAAAACCGTCTTTCTCTTGTCTTTTTTTTCCTTTTCTCTTCCCCCTTCCTTTTTTCTTCTGCCCGTTTCTTCCCCTTTTCCCTTTTCCCAGGTAGCAAGCCCATATGGGGCCATATGGGGATGATCTCGGTCACTTAATTGTGCCATCTGGGCTATTAATGGAACCCATTTATGTATCCCATATGGTGCCAAAATTTAGTAACCCATTTGGGATTTATCTGGGCCAGCCCTTATGGGTCCCAGATGGGAATGAGCTGGACGTACACATATGGGTAGAATATGAATATGCCCATATCGGTAATAAACACATGGGGAAAATCTGGTTTAACCCACATGGGGAAAATCTGGGTTAACCCACATGGGTACCAGATGGGATAAAGCTGGGCATACCCATTTGGGCCCGGTTTGGTATGTCTTATATGGGGTTACCAATATGGGTCCCATATGCTACTTGGGTGCAGATGCCTTAGGGCCCCAGATGGTTTTTCATATGGGGCCCATGTTTCAGAAAATATGGGACCCATGTGGGTCCCACATGGGCTTGCTACATGGGTTATTATCCTCTCTGTCGCTCATTATCTCTCTCTCCCGCTCTCTACTTCTTTTTTGCACTTTTGCGCTTCGCGCTTAACATTTACCTCATTGCTTTTTAACGCTGCGGCTTTGCATTTGGCGCACTGCATTTCTATGATGCTTTTGATTGAATAAATTGAATAAATTCATCATTCCTGATGAAGTAGTATGGGAAATTATTCAATTTATTCTTGTCTCATATACGGTTGTCTCATTTACTTCGTTTTCTATTTATATGTGTATGTATTGTGAAAATACATCTATAATGATGTTCATCTTGCGAGTAATAACCATTAACTACTCTCATCAGGCTCTCATCATTAATTTTTCTCTTCATTTTTCATTTTTGATGATGAATTATCGGGGGGGATGATTGTACAGGCCATCCCCCACATGAAATATTGGGGGTGGGGGAGATTGAATTGGGCTCTGGGTCATTGTTGACTACTTAGAAGTGCGACGTTAAATATCTTTCGACCGGATTCCTTACCTTAGTTTTAAAAGTAAAGCCAGTCAAAAGGAAAAGATCTGGTATGCATTAATGTATTTCAGTGGGAAAATTGGCACTGTTTCTTCGCAATAAGCTGCTTAAACCAGTTAACATTGCCACACAAATGGAGTGGTTGGAAGGGCAAATGAGTCTTGTTTAAAACTTTCTGGTCTATATCTGATCTAAGGAGAATTGTAACAGTTTAACCCTAAAAAGGCCGGGTTAGTTTGGTACTCTCTCAGCCGAGGGGAAGGATGGGGGGGGAGCGGTACTCCTTTGGAAAACTCCGTTATCATTAATACAAATAATGACAAATAATAAACATAGGATTTTCACAAGAACAAAATCATGAATATTTTGCATCCATACCTTGGCACTGATCCAAGGGTATGCAGTGGTCTCCGCCATCTCGATCCTTGACCAGTCCTTCTGGACAGAAGCACCCAGCAAAACAGAACAGAGGACAGATATCATTGGAAAGGTTATCACAGCTGGACGGACCACAACCTGAGCCGCACTCGTTAAAGGTCATACCCTCGGGGCATGCAGAACAGTTCACTTGGACGTCATCAACGTAAAAATCAGCGTTACATCCGCCGCAGTAGTTTGATCTGTAAAATGGGAAGCAAATTTAAAGGTAAAGACCGGTTCTGGTCATGCCATTGTATTGTGAAATAAACGTTGTGAAATCGATCAGAAAAGGTTGATCATCTACCATATTACTGCAAGGTTCTAGAATCATCCAAATGATAAGAAATTTGGACCACTCTTGGTAAAGTTACAAGCACTGTACACAAAAAGATATATAGTGGACTACGCGACACGTGCGCGCTTTCTATCCGGTCCGGATAGATATAATAATTTACCAAGTATCGTCGGCCTTATGCCAAAGGAGCCTGAACTGCTTTTGGCCATTCCGAGATAATCGCGTTTGAAGTTTTGACCTCTCTAATAATCAAAAATTTGTGGTCGTTTTTTGTTGTTTTTGAAGTCAATTTTGATAAATAAGTTTTACATGAAATGTGTTAAATTTGTTTTAAAATATTCAGAAGTTTTCATGCTATGTGCAAAAAACAAGTTAGGGGCTTTTGGGAACATGGCTTTAATGTAGCGTATTTATGCCAGAAGGGCCGTAACCTATACGTGGCATTATGCCAAAAGGGCAGTAACCTACGCGGCGTTATGCCAAACGGGCCTTAACCTGCCGTTACCGTACGCGCGCTTAGTTAGCGCACTTCTGGCATAACGACATTTTCTTGTTCGCAACACCTTTGGTTTGCCAGAAAGCCCCTGCTACGGCTACTGGATCACGAAAGCTGATAAAACAGATTAATCAAAATGTTAGAAATAGTATTTTTGATATCTGAATATTTTTATTAATATAATGCAGCTTTCGGTAAAGTTATTTTTAGAGATCGTACATTTAGGACACCTTTTTCGTTGTTTATTTTCATTACAGTCCCATACGTTGACATCTACGTTCATGATCTAAATTCATGACATATACGTTCAGTGATTATTGTAAGTACATTGTGTCTGTTGTAACGGACCAGTCCGTTATAATTAGTTATCTTGCAGAAAACGTAGAGGGCGTAGTAAGCTTTTGGGGCGTAAGAGTTCAGAGCGCGATTACGGACGCACCATGGTAAAGCAGCTCTCGGAGACTATAAATAGCGGTGTTATACGGTGATTTCGTCACCTCTACGCTGGCTCTCGTCGTAGTTAGATAGCGAACTTTCCGCTCCGCTCCAACTTAGAGAAAATAAGGAAAAGGATTGGAAACGAGAAATAGAGTTCCTACAAAAGGAAATCCCTGCTTTTTTACTATACTTCAGAGATTAATCCAGGTTATTGGTGTCGGTGTTAACTATGATAACGTGTTGGAGATGTTGACTCATGTTTGTATTATTATAGTATACAGTTAAACAATCCATCGTTTCATAACGTGTAATTAGTTGATTCTCCATAGACTGACGTAATATAACCCTCTCATAGAGAATACACATCCAGCTATCCAAAACACCTCTCATTTCCACACCCATATACTTTGGGAAAACGGAGCCACGTCCGGGCCTCTAAACAACTAGCCAAATAGAAACCGCTCGCATTAGTCAGGATGGCAAACTCTTCGTCAGATGACGGCGATAGAGGCAAGGGACAGGCCAGCCCTCCAGCATCCAGGACCCGTTCTAAGATGGAGGGCCGTTACACTATTGTAGACGAAGCATGTTTTGTAATGGTATTTCTACTGATATGTATTGAATTAAAAAATTGATAAAAATTTTTTTTTTTAATTGCCGTGTGGTTAAGGCCCTTTTGGCGTAAGGAAGAAGATGAGATACGCGTTAAGGGCCTTTTGAAATTCATAATTATCTTCATAAATTAATCGAATTTGAAATGAAGCACATCATTTTAAAGAGAATGTTGGAATTTAAAAGGTGATGTTAATAACTCAATAACCCCAAAATCAGGTTAAGGCCTTTTTGGCTTGAGGCCGACGATATGTCAATTAGTAGACGGTTGCCCGGCAAAATATGTATCATCACGTATTAGTCAAAACATATTCTATCACATGATTGGTAATAAGAGCTTCCATTTCATTTTTTGAGAGGGGGGCGTTTCCAAAACTAGTCTATACCTTTAAAGGAAAATAAAATCTTAATGAAAACAGCTCTTAAAATCATGTTTAGATTAAAGCAGAAGAATTAGAAAAGCAGACTGGATTTAGTCCGTATGACAGCGAAAAAAAAAGAGAAAGTTATGCAATTTGAAAGTTGAAATCACTATACATCATACATTGGCAGTTAACTGCGTGATATCTAAAATTAATACAGAACATACTTTAATGCGAAACAGTGTATGCTTACCGGCACTCAGCATCAGGATAAGCGGAACACACGGAAACTTCACAGGGATTTACGACACAATTCACGATAACGTCATCGCAATCGTCTACAAAAAATGAAGCCAAATAAAAAAAATATTGGTAAAAACAACAACTACAGCAAAATCCCGGTTTGGGGTTTTGGGGGCGACGGTCGCCGTTTTGAGTTGGAAAAAAAAGTAAACAAAACTTTTTAAATCCGACCAATCGACCCATGATCTGGCACCTAAATGGCAATACAACATTTTTACTTTGTTTAGGCCTTATGTTTGAATTTTAAATCCGATACGTTAACCTGACATTTTCTCCTGCGACGATTGCTCTGGGTTTGGTTTTCGTGAGAGTACGTAGGCCTATATGTTTAGGGAAAGGGACTGATGTAGAGTGTTGGGGCCAGGGTTGCAGAAATTGTTTCTTGTAGGAAATCGAAGCAGGACAAGTTTAAGAAGACATGTGGTACAACACTCCTACATAATTATGTAGATTGAACTTGAAATAGGCTTTGGGTCATTGTTGACAAGTTGGAAGCTCGACGCTAAATATCTTTCGACCGGATTCCTTACCTTAGTTTTAAGCCAGTCAAAAGGAAAAGTTCTGGTGTGCATGAAGGTATTTCAATGGGGAAAGTGGCACTGTTTCTTCGCAATAAGCTGCTTAAACCAGTTAACATTGCCACACAATGGAGTGGTTGGAAGGGCAAATGAGGCTTGTTTAAAACTTTCTGGTCTATATCTGATCTAAGGAGAATTGTAACAGTTTAACCCTAAAAAGGCCGGGTTAGTTTGGTACTCTCTCAGCCGAGGGGAAGGATGGGGGGGGGGGAGCGGTACTCCTTTGGAAAACCCCGTTATCATTAATACAAATAATGACAAATAATAAACATAGGATTTTCACAAGAACAAAATCATGAATAGTTTGCATCCATACCTTGGCACTGATCCAAGGGTATGCAGTGGTCTCCGCCATCTCGATCCTTGACCAGTCCTTCTGGACAGAAGCACCCAGCAAAACAGAACAGAGGACAGATATCATTGGAAAGGTTATCACAGCTGGACGGACCACAACCTGAGCCGCACTCGTTAAAGGTCATACCCTCGGGGCATGCAGAACAGTTCACTTGGACGTCATCAACGTAAAAATCAGCGTTACATCCGCCGCAGTAGTTTGATCTGTAAAATGGGAAGCAAATTTAAAGGTAAAGACCGGTTCTGGTCATGCCATTGTATTGTGAAAGAAACGTTGTGAAATCGATCAGAAAAGGTTGATCATCTACCATATTACTGCAAAGTTCTAGAATCATCCAAATAATAAGAAATTTGGACCACTCTTGGTAAAGTTACAAGCACTGTACACAAAAAGATCTATAGTGGACTACGCGACACGTGCGCGCTTTCTATCCGGTCCGGATAGATATAATAATTTACCAAGTATCGTCGGCCTTATGCCAAAGGAGCCTGAACTGCTTTTGGCCATTCCGAGATAATCGCGTTTGAAGTTTTGACCTCTCTAATAATCAAAAATTTGTGGTCGTTTTTTGTTGTTTTTGAAGTCAATTTTGATAAATAAGTTTTACATGAAATGTGTTAAATTTGTTTTAAAATATTCAGAAGTTTTCATGCTATGTGCAAAAAACAAGTTAGGGGCTTTTGGGAACATGGCTTTAATGTAGCGTATTTATGCCAGAAGGGCCGTAACCTATACGTGGCATTATGCCAAAAGGGCAGTAACCTACGCGGCGTTATGCCAAACGGGCCTTAACCTGCCGTTACCGTACGCGCGCTTAGTTAGCGCACTTCTGGCATAACGACATTTTCTTGTTTCGCAACACCTTTGGTTTGCCAGAAAGCCCCTGCTACGGCTACTGGATCACGAAAGCTGATAAAACAGATTAATCAAAATGTTAGAAATAGTATTTTTGATATCTGAATATTTTTATTTATATAATGCAGCTTTCGGTAAAGTTATTTTTAGAGATCGTACATTTAGGACACCTTTTTCGTTGTTTATTTTCATTACAGTCCCATACGTTGATATCTACGTTCATGATCTAAATTCATGACATATACGTTCAGTTATTATTGTAAGCACATTGTGTCTGTTGTAACGGACCAGTCCGTTATAATTAGTTATCTTGCAGAAAACGTAGAGGGCGTAGTAAGCTTTTGGGGCGTAAGAGTTCAGAGCGCGATTACGGACGCACCATGGTAAAGCAGCTCTCGGAGACTATAAATAGCGGTGTTATACGGTGATTTCGTCACCTCTACGCTGGCTCTCGTCGTAGTTAGATAGCGAACTTTCCGCTCCGCTCCAACTTAGAGAAAATAAGGAAAAGGATCGGAAACGAGAAATAGAGTTCCTACAAAAGGAAATCCCTGCTTTTTTACTATACTTCAGAGATTAATCCAGGTTATTGGTGTCGGTGTTAACTATGATAACGTGTTGGAGATGTTGACTCATGTTTGTATTATTATAGTATACAGTTAAACAATCCATCGTTTCATAACGTGTAATTAGTTGATTCTCCATAGACTGACGTAATATAACCCTCTCATAGAGAATACACATCCAGCTATCCAAAACACCTCTCATTTCCACACCCATATACTTTGGGAAAACGGAGCCACGTCCGGGCCTCTAAACAACTAGCCAAATAGAAACCGCTCGCATTATTCAGGATGGCAAACTCTTCGTCAGATGACGGCGATAGAGGCAAGGGACAGGCCAGCCCTCCAGCATCCAGGACCCGTTCTAAGATGGAGGGCCGTTACACTATTGTAGACGAAGCATGTTTTGTAATGGTATTTCTACTGATATGTATTTCTCGCTACCCTAAATAGGTACGAAAATCTCGAAATTCGCGAGACGAGGTAATTTTCACTCTCTCGGGTCGTCACTACAACTTCCGGTATAGAGTCCCATCCCGCTGGCGCTAGCGCCTGTGTTCGCTGTGCAGAGTTTTCACGCACGCTAAAATCGATGCCAATCAGTGTAATTTGTACAGATTATAATATGCAATGGAAAGCTTCGGGCAGAATTAGTGACTTTAGCACAAAAGGCCGTTAAACTCTACCGTGAAAGAGAGGGTTGTGATCACGAACGCCTGCACAGGAAGCTGTAATGTCGAAAAGCTATCCCATAATGCAATGCGCGTTTTCAGGATTTTCCCCGGATCTCGGCAGAATCGCTATTTGGGGTAGCGAGAATTAAATGGAAATTACGAAATAATCTGTCATTGATAAAAAAAAAAAAAATTAAAAAATTGCCGTGTGGTTAAGGCCCTTTTGGCGTAAGGAAGAAGATGAGGTACGCGTTAAGGGCTTTTTGAAATTCATAATTATCTTCATAAATAAATCGAATTTGAAATGAAACACATCATTTTAAAGAGAATGTTGAAATTTAAAAGGTGATGTTAATAACTCAATAACCCCAAAATCAGGTCAAGGCCTTTTCGGCTTGAGGCCGACGATATGTCAATTAGTAGACGGTTTCCCGGCAAAATATGTATCATCACGTATTAGTCAAAACATATTCTTTCACATGATTGGTAATAAGAGCTTCCATTTCATTTTTTGAGAGGGGGCGTTTCCAAAACTAGTCTATACCTTTAAAGGAAAATAAAATCTTAATGAAAACAGCTCTTAAAATCATGTTTAGATTAAAGCAGAAGAATTAAAAAAGCAGACTGGAAAAGAGAGAAAGTTATGCAATTTGAAAGTTGAAATCACTATACAACATACATTGGTAGTTAACTGCGTGATATCTAAAATTAATACAGAACATACTTTAATGCGAAACAGTGTATGCTTACCGGCACTCAGCATCAGGGTTAGCGGAACACACGGAATAATCACAGGGGTTTACGAAACAATTCACGATAACGTCATCGCAATCGTCTACAAAAAATGAAGCCAAATAAAAAAAATATTGGTAAAAACAACAACAACTACAGCGAAATCCCGGTTTGGGGTTTTTGGGGCGACGGTCGCTGTTTTGAGTTGGAAAAAAAAGTAAACAATTTTTTTTTAAATCCGACCAATCGACCCATGATCTGGCACCTAAATGGCAATACAACATTTTTACTTTGTTTAGGCCTTATGTTTGAATTTCAAATCCGATACGTTAACCTGACATTTTCTCCTGCGACGATTGTTCTGCGTTTGGTTTTCGTGAGAGTACGTAGGCCTATATGTTTAGGGAAAGGGACTGATGTAGAGTGTTGGGGCCAGGGTTGCAGAAATTGTTTCTTGTAGGAAATCGAAGCAGGACAAGTTTAAGAAGACATGTGGTACAACACTCCGACATATGTAGATTGAACTTGAAATAGGCTTTGGGTCATTGTTGACAAGTTGGAAGCTCGACGCTAAATATCTTTCGACCGGATTCCTTACCTTAGTTTTAAGCCAGTCAAAAGGAAAAGTTCTGATGTGCATGAAGGTATTTCAGTGGGGAAAGTGGCACTGTTTCTCGGCAATAAGCTGCTTAAACCAGTTAACATTGCCACACATTAATGGATTGATTGGAAAACTATGGCATTTGTGAAAATGTTCGGGGTTGACAATCTATTCCTAAAGTTTACAGCAATGGCACATGTATACTGAGGCAAATGAGACTTGTTTAGAACTTTTTGGTCTATGTCTGATCTAAGGGGAATTGTAACAGTTTAACCCTAGAAAGCCGGGTTAGTTTGCTACTCTCTCAGCCGAGAGGAATTGTTGGGGGGGGGTCTCCTTTGGAAAACAGAGTTATTATCAATATTATTGCATTTCACATACATAAAAATAATAGACATAGGATTTCCACATGAACAAAATCATGAATATTTTGCATCCATACCTTGGCACTGATCCAAGGGTATGCAGCCGTAGACGAGAGTCTTCATGCATGGCTGATTGTCAACGAAACGGAGTTAAGTCTTTTGTCAAATCTGCTTTTTGCTACGGCAGGCACCCAGTGAAAACGAATTCGTTTGTTAAAATTATGAAAATGTAAGGGCTACTTTAAACAAACAGAACTTTGTTATTCCTCGCTCATTTTTCCTGATTGAGGTGCCATATGAAAGGGCAGAAACTCAACTTTCTAGAAATGTGAATTTTTCTTCGAAATTCAGATACCGCCCGCCAATGTCTTTTTGGTTTCCTTCCTTCAAATTGCTTTTAATCACTCATGCGTGAAATATGCATCATCTGAGTAGCATCAACTGAAAGAAGATACTCTAAGCTTTCCAAATATGTATCATTCATTAATTATGGTTGTGATTAGGTTATGATAAAACATCGATACTTCTCGGTTTCGTTTTTTCTGGGACGCACTGTATATGCTATGGTCACATTAGCCAAAAGTTGCCTGCTCGGCGGCCGAGCGGCGAGTTTTTAACCAATTCTGCCCGGCGGCTGCCCGGGCACCGAGCGGCGGCCGACCAGGCACCGCTCGTTTTTAGGGCATCGCCCGGTCGCCGCTGAAGTTTTAGCGCGGAGTTAAAATTTGGGCGGCGCCTGCTCACTTTTCACTCGCCGCCCAAAATACGCCAAAAATGTGCCTGGGCGGTCGCCGCCCGGGCACCGACCTAATCGCTGGGCGATGCCTAATTCCAGCAGCGACCGAGCAGGCTACTGATCGGTCGGTCGCTGCTCTGATTTGTGACCATAGCTATAGAGGGCGCAAGTAGCTAAAAGTTGTGCAGTTGGGCTTAACCTAAACAAACAATGACAAAAATACGCACCTTCTATTTAACACAAAGTGAATATGAAATATGTATTTTGCGGTAGCTTGTTTTGAATTGTTTTATTCTTTTTTTTTTTTAAATTAATTTGTTGTTTTGACTTGTTTGTTGGGTTGTTTTCTACACTAGATAGCCTGGATACTATAATTACGAATAGTTACATGTAATCGGAATGAGGAAAACAAATTAAAGAATATACATAACATCAACAGTTTTAAGATAAGCAAAGAGGGAGTCATAGATTTACAGAGACTACTTTTTAGTTCTTAACAGAGTGCGATTCTAAATTTCATTGATTAGATATGAAATAATTAATTATTTATAATAACAACAAAAACAGTGATAACGATCAATAATTTAAAACGTGCAATTCTCATGGAAGCCCAAGGAGAAAATCAATACAACTTGCAATGGGTGTACAGGACACGGGGATGTTGATAGATATACCCCTTCCCAGTTTGGGCAAATATTTCGCCCCCTTACTAACCAATTTGATTAAAATTAACTGATCTACTGGTTTACAGTAGTTGAAATGTCTATTTAGTTAGTATGTAAATTGAAAATTTCTAGTCAGAAGGTTGCAAGCGAACAAGGGAGGATAACAAAATGTGCTTATTTGCATGATGCAATTCCCTGTCTTATTATTATGACTTCATGAAAAGATTTATTTTACAAAAGGGCAAATCCTGGTGTCCCCTACATCACAGAGTATTGTAGAGTTCTGTTCTATCGACATCAAACGAGTCTTATATTTCACATATTTTCACATGTTGGTCTGATGAAAAGAATTTCCATTTTCGGTTTAACTAAATAAAAATTTGGAGTGAACTTTAAAAAATTATTATTATTATTATTATTATTATTATTATTAAAGCTCTAATACTAATGGAATGCTCCCCAGGGAGTGAAAAATGTACATAAATTATATTGTGTTGCGGGTATGCCTGAATCCGATGGCCGGGGTAATGATAATACTACTATTATTATTATTATTAATAGGGCTATTAACCTGACACAACCATCAAGTGTATACTAAATCTTAGATGTAGTTTGTGACGTATGGAACAATAGCCTGGATTAACCCAATATCGTTATCTAATAGAACTATCTCGGAATAAGTAATCATTTCCCTTTTTGAGCATGCTAAAAAAAGAAGTATAACAAATGAAACTTACCGTTTGCTTCTGTTGATAGGGCTAGTAGCCCCACCAAGACAAGTTGAAAGAAAATTGTGGCTACCATCTTGAAGTCACGCCAGGCAATTCATTCACTCTGAAACGATTTGAGTTAAACCTACATTGTTAAAGAATGCATACATGGGGCGGTATTTACTGCTCAATTTCTCAACTTTCAGAGTTTTTGTTGTTGTCATGTTTAAAAAATGTACAATCATATACTTAAAGGGATAGTTGAGTTTTTGTTTCAGACCGCAAATGCCTTCAAATTGCATGGTTATTGGTCTTTTTCTTATTTATGACATTTCTAGTCCCCTTTTAGGACCTAAAATTGCTATGAAGGTAATTTTAGACCCAAAATATGTAAAATTTAGCCAATACGATCACACCAATTCAGCTCTACTTTTTAAAAAATACGGTGACCGTTAATCAATTAATAAATTAATTAATAAAAATAAATGGGCCGGATGGTTGTGCGTATTATTACCTACATTTAAAAGCCAACAAAAAGCCAACCAAAAGCCAACAACAAGCCAACATCGGTATTGGCTGGAATAAAACGTAAAAGGCGCTTTTTCATTTTTTCAACGGCTGGTTCAAATTATCTAATATATTTTGTGGTGGTACACAAATATTAGAAATGGTTATATTTATGGATATTTCAGCCGTCTCTGAACCGATTTTGATCAAACAAAGATGATTTTGTCATTTAAATTGTATGTTCTTTCAAATTTGACACTCAGTTTTTCATTATCTCACCCAAAAAATATTTTGTGTAGCACCCTCTGCAACAGAACGCAACTATCCCGTTGAGAAGATCTTACAACTTAAACAATAACTTAGTTATTAATAACAATAACCTGTATTAATAAGTTCATATTTTAGGGCAAAAAGCGAAAGTAAAATGCAGTCTATTCCCTTCGCATTATGTATTATAAACGATGTCTTGACTGGCTGTCTTAAAGATAAAGGTGAGTTCTGGGACAGGGAAAGTCTGAGGGGGGATGTGTCCCCCTGAAAAGCTGAAGAAAAGTCGAATTTGTAAACTCAATTTGTGCGATTTGGTGTATACTTTTTGCCAGGATATCATTTAAAATTTGTGACTTTTTCCAGCATAAATTTATGATAGGAGGAAAAGACTGTAAACACAAGAAGTGGGACTATGTGTGCAGTCCGCCCGTTGTGACAAAAAGTTTTTAGGACACTGGTATTCATGGCACCGGTACCTCTAGGCAGGCGCGTACGCAGGGGGGAGTGGGGGGGGGGGGGGAGGAGGGGTTTGGGGGTTAAACCCACCTTTAGTTTTTTTTTAATGTGTGTATTTTAGAACAACCCCCCCCCCCCCCTTCGGCGATTTATTTTATTTATTTTTTTTGGCCCGATTTCAAAATGTTAAATGTTAAATGTTAAACACTGCCTCTAGGTGTAAGTGTTTAATATTGATATAATATATCAATAACTAAACACAACAATGATTCCCTCATCAAGATCAGGTGTCCATAAAGTATATCTTTTATCCTTTTTATTTCATTTCTAAACAAGATCTTCAATTGCAATAATGTTGACAACCACAATTGACACGGTACAGATTCCTAATACCTCGGGTATCACTTGATTGTCAAAATCAGTCAGTACAAGACTAGTGCAGCAGTTGTGATGGGCAGACAGCAATAACTTGATTCGGGCTGCAGCTTTAAACACCTTACATCAGGCCCCGGTGAACGTTTTTCAAAGTAGGGGTGGGGGATAAAGTAGGTAGAGCGTAGCGTAAATTGGCGTAGGGTCCAGGGGGCGGCGCCCCTGGAAGCTCGGAGGTTTGAGCAGGCCAGGGGCAAATGAGGTCATTCAAAGAATGTGGGGGGCATCAACAATAAAGGGCACTTTCCGGGAGAAAAGGGCACCTACCTCAAAGCGAAAATTTACAGTTTTTTTTAGACACTGGTATATACCCCTACAATGTGATTACAGGGATGATTTCAATGTCTGTTTCTCTCTTAACATGGTTCATACTGTTCAAGCATCACAAATTTACTTTGTAGTTGGTTTTTGATGGTAAGAATAATTTTTGCGAGCGAGCGAAGCGAGCGAGCAAAAAATTTGGATTTGTGAGGTCGCAGTGAAAAAAATTACATCTTATATAGAAGAAAAAAATCCTGATGGGGTTTTAAGCACAATCTAATCATGAAAGACTGAAAAGATCTTTAATATGAACCATAATCATATCAACTTTAAATACGAGCTAGCGTAGCGAGCCACACTTGGGTGAAATTAAAGAAAAGTTCCTCTTAATCCCTTTAAATTAGGAGCACTTTTTATAGGGAAAGGAAAAGGGGGCACATATCCAAAGGGGAAAATAACACTTATTTGAAATGAAAAAGAGCACATGTCAAAGTAAAAAGGGGAATTACCAGAGGTGAAAATGGGGCACTCCTCGCACTTAATAAGGGGCACTCACCAGAGATGAAAATAGGCACTTATGACAACGGAAAAAGTGCAATTTTCAGAAGGAAAATGGCACTAATCAGAGATGAAAAGGGGCACTTATTACAGACTTAAAAGGGGCACCTCTCAAATTTTAATAAGGGTATGCACTCATCGGAGATGAAAAGGGGCACGTATAAGAAAGTACCAAATCTCACGCACACATTATGCAAAAGAGGTGAGTAATTACGTCCTGCAGGACACAACACAAATCCCAGGTTGGTTTCCGGAAGCTGGAGAAGAATCCTTTTCGCATCGTATACTGATTTTAATTTTTAATGATTTACGCATCTATCCAATCTGTCCATATAGTGTAACAGTAACAACCCATCTGTGACACTAATAAACGATGTGCATGAGACTAATTTTATTCGGTATAATTTACATATAATAAATATTATGGGCAGATTGAAAAAGAAAAATTTAGACTGACAGGTCGTCTTCTGTGCACCTGTTCAACTGAATGCAGTGTTCTTACCCAGATTCCGGCGATAAAAATGGGTAACTTTCTGAATAAATCAGGCTTTTACGACCACTTTTACGGATCTAATTTTATGAAAACGCGAACTGCCGAATTTGGAAGCGTTACTGGTTGCCGACATGCTTCACGATGCCTCCGTGTTTTTAATTTTCGCATTTGCTATTTTTTCGTGCTTTTTTCCTTAATTACGTTTGCTAAGTCGCGCTTTATGTAGATAAAATATGTGGTCTCGCATTTTGCAGGAAAAAAAAGTTTTTTCCGGGGCCTTGCCCTTGGTTGGTTTCTTTCTATTTCTCTTTAAAATACTTTTTCAAATAAGAGGGGGGGGGGGGGCTCGAGCCCCGCCATACCGCGGATCCTGTACACTGTGTAACAGCATGATGATTTGACAGATGGACCTGAAGTTAACCGAGTCCTGAAATACTTTTGAACGTTGTAACTTGTACGCCCTAGTGTAGAGAGTTCATCGGCATTTTGTTTCTATCATAATATATAGGCCTAAAACACGAATTATGGCTGTTTTGACCTTAAAACAATCCAAAGCTCGGCGCATGTCCAGCTGAACCGCGGGAGCTTAGCCTATAAACGGATAGATGAGGGCCCTGGGTCCACTCCTAACTCGTGTTGTAGCCCTTCTTTCTTCCCTTTTCCTTTCCTTTCCTTTCCTTTCCTTTCCTTTTCTTTTCTTTCCTTTCCTTTCCTTTCCTTTTTTTCGGGGGGGGGGGGCCGGGCCCGTCGGCCCCCCCCCCCCCCGCGTGGATCCGCGCCTGAGGTAGATCATGTAATATGTTTCATAGTATTGGTGTGTACTGCAAAGTTCTGGAGTCATCAAAATCATGATAAACTTGGCCCAGTCTTGGTAAAGTAACAAACACAAAAAAATGTATATGGGACTACACAAATGATGTCGGGCCGCTACTAACCTTGATTTTCTAATCTTTCTTTGCTCATTACTCAGCCAGTATACATTTTTTTAACCAAAATTGTTTGGCAAATGACATTATTTTGTAATTTCGAACATTCAGTGTAAGTTTCGTTTGATTCTGTGAAAATTCATTTTCTTTTCTTTTTTTTACCAGAACTCACCTTTATCTTTAAGTCGATCCTATTTTACCTAGCAATAATTGCTAATATTGCTTATAAAATACCATCTGACCAACATTATTCTATTCAATAATGTTACAAGAAATCCTAATTGTACTTTTGAAGGGGGAAATGTTGAATATAGTTTCGAAATTCTTTCTGTTATTTAACTAATTCATTCTGTGAAATACAGAATTGGAAATCGATTTTCTGAGGAAGTTTTCTTTGCAATATTCTCATCATTTCTATTTATGCGATACCATTTCAAAAGGCTAATTATTTTTCTTTACAATAGTGTCCTTTCATATGTGAACTATTGTGTAAAAAACTTGAAAAAGGAGGACGAGTCCAAAATTTATTTTTTCCTCGACAGTGATTCCTTTTTCGAGTTTGATATTACCATAAGGACTGTTAAAAGATTACTATAATTGCATTTGTGAATTTTGTGAAATTAAAAGTGTATTTTTGAAAATTATGTCTGAATTGAAACAATCTGTATAACAGAAAATCGACAGTTTTACGGCTTCTCGTTCTTCTTTGTAAGTCAACAAAATTATTGATTTTTAAGGAGACACAGGAAATGAATGAATGGAAGTATCTCAGACCTCAATAGATATCACTCGAGTCATGGAAATGCACTGATTTGTACTGGAAACAAATGGATTAAGGATATAAAATAAATAACTACATGTATTTTGCTTTTGCTGTAGATGAACAGATTTTCAAAACAATACAAATCATTCTCAGAAATATAGTTGATTTTCATCTTGACATTGATAATTCAATTCATTTTCAATACATATACAAATTAAAAGAGATCAGTTGTAACATAAAACAAATAACCCCATCAAACCAAACACACTACTACCCCCTCCCCCTCCATGCGACAAACGACACACACACACACATACACGCACCCACACCATCTCCTATTCATCCCCATCAACTTGAACTTGAACTTGCAATTTGTTATCCAATATCAAACACATATACAATAGCGTGAAAGGATATAAAATAAGAAAACGAAT